GCAAGAATGTCAACAGTATTGTGATAATAGTTTGCATTAAGTAACAAAGTTTTGAGTTAAAACTCACAAGCTACTGCAAGTTCCAAGCTATCACAGAAGAGATATCAGATTGGAGGTTGGCTGCTTGTTCTAAATGATCAAAAAGTAAAGACTTTCTGTCAAGACGGGAGTAAAATGTTGAGTTATCAGTAAATACAGCTACTTTAGATGTAAGATTGTCAGGAAGATCATTAATGTAGATAAGAAACAATACAGGACCAAGGATAGATTCTGGTAGTACTCCAAAAGAGTAATGGTCTTTAAGGATGACTTAATTTATCTACATCTTTACTACAAAAAAGAGTAAAATTTAATTATGAAAAAGCAGAAAAAAACAAAGCGCATAATTTATAAAATGTACAGTATACATTTCTATTAACTGTATATATAATCATAATTGTGCATTTTGTGCGTAATTATAATACTGCACATATATTTGCACGCTCAATGAATTGTGCAATGCAATCAACCAATTCATAGATTGAACAAATATTTATCAATTTCATGAACTGTACAATTTCACCAATTGTGCATAACATAAACATGAAAATAATAATAATAATAAAAGATAAAAAAATACATTTGAGTGAGTCTTTTTTGCAACTTTCATCATTCGAAGAAAAAACATGGTATGGTACAAGTCTAGTAACAGCATCATTTAAAGATTTAAATGGATGTTTAATATCAGGAGAAACAACATGGGTTTGATCTTCAGTCAAAACATGTTTCCATCTAAAAATTCAATTTATTAAGAATAAAATAAAAAGAATTTATCAAACACTTTGATAAAATAATAAAAATTTACTTTTTAGTTAATCTATGTTCTTGCTGTGTAGCAACTTCAATAGGTGCAGAGCGTTTTACTGAACGAATCTACATAAAAAAAGAGTAATCGGTTTCACCATTTTCATTTTCTTCAATACACAATGTTTCCTAAAGTTAGGTAACCACAACATACTACATCTTTATTGTTAACACAATTGTCATTTTCTTGATGGTTAACACAAGCATTATGATAAATATGTAATGCATAACTTCTATATATACAAATAAAATGCTCATTGTTCTTGAAAAAAAGAGGATAATAAATTAGTAAACACTCTTATCTAATTTTTTTCTTTGACAGCTTGTTACTCCATAAGCATCAGGAAGAAGCATGATAGTATGATAGCTTCTTCCTGATGAACCAGCTGATGGAAAAACAAGCTGTCAAAGAAAAAAAAAAAAAATAAAATATATATATATATATATATATATATATACAGGCCTTGTGATGAATAAAAACTGAGCGACGCATAAGCACAACGTGATTTTTGACGTCATTAAATTCTTTTTATTTGCTTTTCATAATTATCGACATTAACTGCACCAATTTACTTAATTACCGCAAAACTACTTTAAATCATTTATGTAGAAATGTTATTATTTAAAAATGTTTTGGAATGTTTCGTTTTTTAAAATGTAAAAACATTTTTTTATTATCTCGACGTTTGACACGTTTTGCCTATACTAAACGAATAAAAAACATAACTAAACATTATTTTAAAGTTTTTCAAATAATTATTTTTTCTTTTTAAAATGTCAGCGAGTAATAAACTGGAAATTTTAATATTGTACGATTAAAAACTGTGCAATAGCTAATATTTTTACTAGCGATTTGATATACTATTTATTTATTTATTTTAATTTATTTTCATAAAGCAGTTAATAAAGCACAATCACTCCTATTACTAAAAAGATTTTAACGAACGTTTTGAATAGATTTTTAATGTTTACAAGGAATTTTATTTTTGGTAAAATGAAATAAAATGTTAGAATAAAAATCTTATAGGTATAAAAGACATATTTCAGCGAAAAAATTATTCTTAAAATTTATTATCAAAAATTATTTGAAAAACTATTGGCGTTCTATTTTTTAGCAGCTGTTCTTGAGCACGCTTCGTTGAGTTTCGGTAACTTTTAACAAAAAAGCGACTGTTATTATTTAAGTAATTTTTTTCGAGTTACTTTTTACAAAAATTTTAATAACTGTACTTTTTTATTGAATCAAGTAGAATACATTTTAATATTAATTTTTTTATTTTTTTTAATTTGCGCTTACCAATTTTTAAAATGTTCCCTGGAAATAACTCTTAAATACTTTAAATACGTTTAACAGTTAATAAATATTTTTAAATCTAAGGAATAATTTTAAAACCCCCACCAACAAACCCCCGTCAAATAATTATTTAAGTTAAAAATCTAAAACTAAAAGAAAGTATTTTTGTTCAATTTTATTGACAACTTGGCTTTTGCTGAATAATTTTATTAAAATGTTAGCTTAAAAAGATTTAAACTTTTTTTTAATCTGAATTTTTTGTACTTGTAAATAATGAGCATATTTAATTTTTTTGTAATTCAAACTTTTATATCAACTGCGTGCGGTTTTTAAAATACTTTATTAAATGTTAAAATAATTGTAAATTACTTTATTAAAATTCCGTTCAAAAATATCTTTAAATATTCTCAAACAAATTTTTTTTTGCTCGACGCAAATAGCCCTAGCTACACGCAAAATCGCTCTTGGACGACGTAAAATTTACATCGCCCGACGCTTTATCGCAAGGCCTGATATATATATATATATATATATATATATATATATATATATATATATATATATATATATATATATATATATATATATATATATATATATCTTTTCTGCATACTTAAAAACTTTTCACCTTAATTATTATGAAAGAAAATACTTAAATCTAACATCTTTCTACCTTTGGAAAGAAAATGATCTTTTTACTACTTTAGATGCACAGAATAACCTAATTGATTATGAAAACACTTAAGATAATCAAAGGTTCAAGTCCTCCACCTGGGTAGTAAATAATTTTTTTTTTGTTAAACTTACAAATTATTAGGAAATAATTTTTGAAAATTGTTCAAAGTATTTTAAACATTTATTAACTACACTTTAGTAAATTCAATTTTAGTAGTTATTACTGTTTTGAATAAATAGTAGTTAAATGTTTAAATACTTTATACAATTTTAAAATATTTAAACATTTAACGTATTTACTAGAAGAGATAATTATGGTAAACATAATTTTAAAAACGTTATATTTTTTTGATTAAAAAACATATTATATTTTAAAACTTTATACAATATTATAGAGACTTTATATTAACATTATAGAACTTTATACAACATTATCGAGATTTAAATGTTTAATGGTGCTAATTTTTTTCAGAAATTATGAAAAATTATTTTAGTTAAGTAAAATTATAATACTTAAGTAAAATAAGAACAAATTACTTAAGTGATTTACACCTTTTAAAAACTGTACGTTTTATAACAAATGTCATCCTTAGAAACGGAAATTTATTTTCACAAAGGTTTTAGGATATCAAGATAACATAAAAAATTTAGATCAAAAATCTGTAAAAACCCTAACTGAAAAACTTTTTTTTTCACTATTTTTAATAAAAAGGCAAAAGAAAAATTAGAAAAATTAAAATATTTTTAAGCGCTTTTTTTTGTACGGGTTCGTCCCATACCGCTCCAGCGGTACTAAAACAGGTTTGGGTTTGTCCCTGATATGATACTTAATTTCTTTCTTTTCTTGACATTTGTATAAATAAATTTAAATATATTTTTTTATTATTATTACTTTTTAAATTTGTAATAGTGTCTTTGCAATTAATGATTTTTTATTTTTAAAAAGTTAATGAGCAACAAATAAAAAATATAACTTATTGCAAAAATAATAACTCTATTTAATTACTTTAAAGAATTTTGTTGTGAAAATGCACCATATATTCCAAGTAACATTTATTTAAAATTCTAAGTACTATTTATTAAAAAATATATATATGCGCTTTCACTTGTTTTATGAAAAAAAGTTTATAGTACTCCTTGTGAAAATTTTTGATGCAGCCTAAAAAACGTTTACAAGGAATTTAATTTTTAGTAAAAAATGAAAAGTAGAATGGAAAACCAATAAAAGAATTACAAATAAAAATAAACTAATTTTTTTTTAAAGAAAAATGAAACTTTATTATCAAGCAATTTTGAGTAATGCTATTAAACAAAATTGAAATAGATATTAAATTTTCTTATTTTAGTTTTATATCAATTTGTTTTATTTGTAAATAACTTATAACAAACATTTATGTCATTCAAACTTTAGTAAATTTTTTTTAAAATAATCATCATTTAAGAGATTTATTTTTAAACAAATGAAAAAAAAATATTTTTGCTACTGATAAACTGTTTGTTTAATAATAATGGGGATAGGTATCACAATATAATACTTGCTTCTCTGAAAAGACTTTTGCTATGACAACAAAAACAAACACTTTGTATGATATACAGGCCTTGGTGGGAAGAAATGAGTGCGAGAGCGGCAAAAAGCTCTCCTAAAACAAACATGGCTAGCTATGCGGGCTGCTTCTCTAAACAGCTTCTAAGGAGAGCATTTGGTTTTTGCGAGAGCTACCTCAATACCACAATAAAAAATAAAAACTATAATAAGCATATTAATTCTATTAGATTGTATATATTTTAAAAACTTAAATATTCTTTTCAAACATTTTGAAAGTATTTTTAAAACGCAAATAAACATTATTTCCCTTTAAGAAAAATAGGAAGAAAAAAAAATTATTCAATTATATCAGAAATTATTTCAGCAATTGTAAAAATTAAGCATGGTTTCTTTTAAAGTAATTGCAAATGCATTCATTTAAAGTAAAATTTTTAATGCTTTTGTTAACGCATGCAAAAACCATGCTAAAACATAAATTTTATTCTTTAATAGCATACTTAGGGGTCGTCCATAAAGTACGTATGCTTTTTTTTATTCACCCCCCCCCAAGCATTTTGCAGTATGCTTTTTTGAGTACCCTCCATCTCCCTTAAAGTACCTACGCTTTTAACCTATTTATCTAACATTTTATGATATATTTTTTAATTTAGAGTCTCAATTCTTTCATAATTGACCCACTGCCCTCCCATCTCAAATACGCCATTTGCAGACCCCTCTTCCCCTCCGAGCGTACATACACTATGGATGATCCCTTAGTTATTTTACTTCATGGTAACGCTATTGAAAAAAATAGTCATTTAAAGTCTTTAAAATGTGTTTTAAATTTTAGTAACTAATTGTTTTTTATTATAAAAGCGTGTTTTTTATAATAAATAAAAAGCATAATTGTTTTAATCGCATTTGGAATAAAAATTACTGAAATAATGCATCTGTTTTTAAAAATTTAAGGCAAACAAAAATGTATGCATCAGGCTTGGTCGGGAAGCGGGTGCGATCGCACTCGATATTTGACCACGGAAATTATATTTAGTTGCGAAAAGCTGGCCAGATTTTTTAGGCGTTTTGAGAACATTTCAAAAACAAGCAAAAAAGCGCAATAAGATAAACTGGACCGATGAGAGAGTTAAAAAAAAGAAAAATAGCTTTTAACGCAAAACTTTAAGCAAAATAAATACAATTAGAGCAAATATTTTTGGAACTCCTCCTAGGCAAAGACTTAAGGGGTAAACAGATTCTATCTGTTGACCAGCCTCGCACCCCTTCGTCATCTATAAGGCTGGTGCAGATGTATTTTTAATACATTGTTTCCAGTTTAGGATGTTGAACGCTGGATCTTCTTGACTCGATTCATGGGTTTTGCTTGTGTCTCTGTTTTTATGACTAGGCAACTCATTCTATTATCTCCAAATGAGGGTACAGCTCTAAAACTCAGTTTTACGGTTCTGAGGCTGGCTGGTAGTCAGGTTTCCCGAACTCTGTGGTAGCTCTCAGAGAGGCTGATTCCATCAACAGCTGAAAAATATCAGAGTACTAACAGAGCCATGTTGCGCATGGATGGTGTCCCTGTTTGTACTTTTGGTGTGCATTGCCAAGGCCACATTGGAGCCCTTTGTTACGGCTTAGGGTTTATTAGTGGAAATGAGGCAATTGCTTGAGCTATAGAACAGTGTACTGAGTACTATCAATGTTTCGAGTCAAGTTCTTTAACAAATTTAAAAATGAATAAAGTAACAAAAACTATAAAACACAAAAAACCACAGCCATCACCAAGTTCGCTAAACCTATCATTCACCAATATTCGTGGTCTTCGAAGTAACTTTTCTTCTGTTGAGTCTTATCTCTTGCAAAGTTCACCAGACCTGCTTGCTCTTTGTGAGACTAATTTGAGTTCAGCTGTCTCATCTTGTGATCTTAGTGTTGATGGTTATCTTCCTTTAATTCGTAAAGACTCCAATAGCTGAATTGTTTGCCAAGAACTTTTCATCAATATCATCTCTTGATGCCACTAGTTGCGTTTTACCTGATATACCCGTCAAACAGGTTGATCCATTGCTCGACATTCGTATCACTCCAGCTTCTGTATCTAAAGTGATTTCCTGCTTAGACTCTTCTACAGCTTGCAGCCCGGACAACATACCTGTTATAGTCTTGCAGAAGTGTTCTCCAAAGCTGTCGTCTATCTTTTCAAAACTATTCAACAAGTGCTTATCAGAGTCTTGTTTTCCAGCCTGCTGGAAAGTAGCATCTGTTATCCCTATCTGTTATCCCCTATTTTTAAAAATTCTGGAGAGCGATCTGACTCATCTAACAACCGTCCCATTAGTCTTCTTCCTATCATAAGCAAGGTTTTTGAATCTTTAATTAACAAACACTTAATCTCTCATCTCGAATCTCATAACCTACTTTCTGATCATCAGTATGGATTTCGATCTTCTCGTTCTACGGCTGATTTGCTATCAGTAATAACCGATAGGTTTTATAGCGCATTAGATAAAGGTGGAGAGGTTAAGGCCATCGCTCTTGACATTTCTAAAGCGTTTGATAAATTTTGGCATGCTGGTCTCCTCCATAAGCTTTCTTCTTATGGTGTATCTGGAAACATCTTTAAGATTATTGAATCCTTCCTTTCCAATCGTAGTATAAAAGTTGTCCTTGATGGACAGCACTCTTCTTCTTATTCTGTAACCTCAGGGGTTCCCCAAGGTTCAATCCTTGGCCCTATACTCTTTTTAATTTACATTAACGATCTTCCAGATATTCTCACATCTAAGGTGGCATTGTTCGCTGATGATACTACCATTTATTCTTGTCACGATAAGAAGCCAACTCCCTCTGATTGCTTGCAGGGGGCATCTGAGCTCGAAAAGGATCTCACTTCTGCTACAGCATGGGGCTCGCAGTGGCTGGTGAACTTTAATTCAGATAAAACTCAATTTTTTTCGCCCAATCGTTATCGCAATAATTTAGACCTTCCTATATTTATGAACGGTAATGTACTCGATGAGTCTCCTACCCTTCATCTTCTAGGATTAACTCTTACTTCTGATCTTTCTTGGAAACCTTATATCAAATCCGTTGCAAAATTAGCATCTGCTAAAGTTGCTTCTCTTTATCGAGCTCGTCACTTTCTTACTCTGGATTCTATTCTGTATCTCTATAAATCTCAAATCCGGCCTTGTATGGAATACTGTTGCCATATCTGGGGCGGATCTTCTAATGATGCCCTTTCTCTTTTAGACAAGATGCAAAAACGCATTGTAAACATAGCTGGACCTGCTCTTACAGCCAACCTTCAACCTCTGTCACATAGTCGTAATGTTGCTTCTCTTTCTCTTTTCTACAAATACTATAATGGGCACTGCTCTAAAGAGCTAGTGTCTCTTGTGCCATCTACTAAAATTCATTCTCGTGTTACTCGTCATTCAATTAAGTCTCATCCTTTTTCTGTTACTGTTCCTAAGTGCTCCAAAAACTCTTATTCGTCTAGTTTTTTTCCTCGAACATCAGTTCTTTGGTTAATAAGTCGTCTTTTAATTTTAATCTTTTCTCTTCCAGTAACTTCCAACACTAATTAGTGGTTGCTTGCAACCTTGTTGGAAGCGAAGATAATTAAAAAAAACAAAAAAAAAAACGTTGCTCTTTTATAATTTTTTTTTTAAAAAAAAAAGCAACATTTTTTGTATATAGTAACAAAGTACTATATACAAAAAATGTAAAACAACGTAAGTTAAAAAATATAAATTTAAAACATTTATTTTTATTTTGTAAACAAATGTTAGTTTAAAACATTTATAGCTTTATGGATGTGACTCCGAGAATGAGCCATTGTATTAAAATAATTGTTCGTTTGATAGTATATTCTTAAAACAATTGATGCTTGAATTCTCAACGAAAACATAACAAAAACAAAAACAAAAAAAAAAGATTTTGAAAAATAATTCAACAGAATACTCTAGAACAGTCGCTTGAATTCTTTAGTAATTTCAGTTATTTATTAATTGAACCAATAGAACTAGTTGTTCGTAAATTTGGCGGGTTTTTTGTGTTCGCGAATATTCTTTATTTATTTTTCCGCACTAAGATGTTTGACAACATTCAAGTTTATATAAGTTTCCATGTACGTCCGTAAAACAAAATCTTTTAAAATTTACGATAAAATGAACTTATTATTTTGCGGACAAACAAGGAAACATACATAAACTGAAATGTTCTCAAAACGCCTGAAAAATCTGGCCGGCTTTTCGCAAGTAAATATAATTTCCGTGGTCAATTATCGAGTGCGATCGCACCCGCTTCCCGACCAAGCCTGATGCATATGCAAAAATATCGAAACTTGACCTTCATTTTTCTGTCTTTTTTTTAAACATAAGTTTGCACTTTTGTAGACACTTTTGCAGACATAACAAGTGTCATTTACCATTGCAAAAGAATGCAGGCATTTCAAGAATTATTAAAAATAATTATTAAAATGACTGCGTTTTTTATTTTAGTTATACTAATAATTATACTTTAGAGAGAAAAAACTATACTTTGCAAGTGAATTGCTCTCGTAAACCGTTTTAGGGGAGTGTGGTTGAGAGAGCCATAAATTGCTCCCGTAAATTATTTTAGGGGAATGAGGCCTGATATATAATATGTGAGGCCTGATATATAATTAATTGACTGATGTGTCTAAATTTATTTGATTGTTTATTTGACTAGGGTCCATCATTCAAATAAAATCCAGTTCATTTTATGAACAGCCTTTTAAACTTTTTTTAAAACAATGACAAGTGGGAATTAGGACAAATGAATTAGAACTCCAAAACTGATATATTGTTAACTAGTCTATGCTTTAAAAAATAATTAATTCCATTACTTTAATACCTTCCTTTGTTAGCATTATTATCATTAGCAAATTTCAAAAATCAAAGTCTCAAACTGAGCAGTCCTAAATCAGCATTGTACTGTTAAACTGTTACAAAATTGTTTACATAAACTGTGTTCATACAGCAGTGTGTTAACATGAAGACTGTTACAAAATTGTTCATAGAAACTGTCCTTAGTTGCTAAATAATAACTGTTGTGAATACTTAAGAATTTAATTATTAAAGTTTGTATAAAAAATATTAACTGTTGTGAATCCTTAAGAATTTTAATATTAAAGTAAAAATTACTTACTTTGTTAGTCATTGTGTTAGTTTTTTTTACTTGTTGAGCCAGAAGTTGTTTTTGCTCTTCTTGTGCAGTACCTGTTGTCGAGTTTTTTAAAATTGAAGAAATTAACATTGTATTTGATAGAGAAGTTTTTTGTAGTTGAGCATTACCTAAACCAGCCATTCCTAATTGTTTTAAAAGTTGGTCTTTTTGAATGGAAGATAAATTACTGAGTTGTTTGTTAAACAAATTGCTAATATCTGTGGTTTTATCATTAAAATTAACAGAAGACTGGCTAGTGGAAGCAGATTTTTGAATAATATTTTGACCAGCAAGAGTTTTACTTGAAGAAACTAGAACAGTTTGTGGAGTAAAAATAGATGAACTTGAAACTAAATTAAAGTTTAGAACAGAGTTACTTTTTATAGAGCTATTTTGATTACTACTAGAAATAATAACATTTTGTTGCTGAGAAACAATTGGCTGAATAAGTTTGCTTTGTTGTATTAACAATGACTTTTGCAATTCGGCTAATTGAGCAGATGACAACTGAGATGCATTTACTAGTTGAGTGGATAAAACAGTATTTCCTCCAGGTAATTGAACAAGAACTGGTCTGACATTTTGCATGGAAACAGATGGATTTATTAGAAAAAATTGATCATTAGAATTATTCGTTAACAATCTACCATTGGTTACTGTGCTTGGTGCTACTGACTTATTAACCATATTTGTAAGGCTTGACAACAACTTTAATGGTGCCTTTTGCTGTGATGTTTGCAACAAATTTATATTTTGAGGTTGAATTTGAAGTTTTGCTTGCAAACCAGGTTGGTTTATTGTGTTACTTATGAACCTTTGTTGCTTTTGTTGCATGTGTTTTTGATTTTCGACCTAAATAAGTTTAACAAAAATAATTTTTTTTATTAAATTTAAAATAAAAGCAAAAATTACATTTTTTATTTATTTAGTTAAAACTAATACTTTTTGTTATTTAGTTAAAACTAATGTCTTTTGTTAATAAAAATTTTTACATCAGTTTTACATCATTAGGGTGTAAACTAGCCCAATGGGGCCCCATCAAAGGCGCTATTCCCAAATGCTCATAAAATAAAAATTCCTAATTTAAAGGTAAAAAAATCCCAACCTCTAAATTAAGTTCACCAAATTAAAGTTTAATAATAATTCTAAAAATTATTGAATATCAATTATTATTAAAAACTAACAGAAAAATAAAATAAGAAATTCTAATTTAATTATTGTGTAAAACTTGAAATAAAATTGCTGTTATTGGTATAACTATGTGATTGCATAACTGCGAAAATGTCTCTTGGAATAAACTTATTTAGTTTTGGGATTTTCCAAGCAATTTTAGGGATTTTCTTGGCAATTTAGACATTTATAATTGTATCCAAAAGAACAATCTTATTATTTCAAAAAAAAATGTTATTGAAGATATATTAAAATTCATTCAGCCAAAAATTTCTGAGTTTAAAGACGTTGATTTTAGGCATGCTGTTCAACAATTTAATTACTGTTATAAAAAAAAGTAATTTCTAGTACCAGTTTGTAATAATCACAAAACATTTTTTGTTTCTAATTTATAATTCAGAGGTGGTCTTTTAAAAAAGTTAGTTGAGAAATGAGAGTGGATAAGTAAAAAATGATTTTAGTCGATGCGATCACATAATTCAGTTAATAAAAATACCTAACAATTTGCTTCTAAAATTCATTTTTCAAACTTTGCAAAAAATTCTTCGCAATGCGTTCCAACAACAGCATTAACTGAATTATGTGATCGCATCGACTAAAATCATTTTTTACTTATCCACTCTCATTTCTCAACTAACTTTTTTAAAAGACCACCTCTGAATTATAAATTAGAAACAAAAAATGTTTTGTGATTATTACAAACTGGTACTAGAAATTACTTTTTTTTATAACAGTAATTAAATTGTTGAACAGCATGCCTAAAATCAACGTCTTTAAACTCAGAAATTTTTGGCTGAATGAATTTTAATATATCTTCAATAACATTTTTTTTTGAAATAATAAGATTGTTCTTTTGGATACAATTATAAATGTCTAAGTTTAATAAAACCATATCTAAATAATTCTTATAACAAATATTTTGTATCTAAAAGTTTAATATTATAATATATATGCCGCATGGACTACTAATTCTTGTTAGTAATTAAGTTACTACAAGAGTTAGTAACTAAAATTAACATTAAATAAATTACTGTTGGTGCTAGTAATTAAATTACTAACAACTACCGAAAATATGTTGTTGATAGGCTATGCAAAGTAAGGTATCCATAGCAAACAAACCAATTAACCTCATAAGCATTGTGAAACTCATTTTAATACATAGACCCAATATTATATACTTTGCGCAAATAAAATACTGTTAAAACAACAATGTAAAAATGGGTTGTTGCTATGCAAAATTAACTACCAGATCAACCAAGTTAAAACATATATAAAATTTGAACGGGGGCTTTATTTGAGTTTCCAATCAATGGAAACTCAAATAAAGCATCATATAGCTCAAAGGAATATTAGACAGCGCATGGCAAATTGTGGCTATTATTAGTTATAGAGCGGCAAAAAAAAAAATAAATTTTAATCTGTGATTTTCAAAGTATAACTGAGATAACGTGCAATGACAAATTTATTTCACACAATAGTTTTTCTTATCTCTTAATACTCCAAAATAACATGTACTAATTTTTCATTTTAAAAACGTAGATGTAATTGAAATATCACACAATGTTGATGTCACCAAAATTATTTATTTATATATATATATTTTAGGGTGGCTCTTAAAACAACTTTTTTTGAAATTGTCTGTTGTGTTCTATGTAATAAATTAACACCAAATTAAAAAAATTTTTGAATTAAAAAAATTTTTAGGGGTCACACAAGACCCTTAAATATCAAACAGGTCCTATATATTTTAAAAAAAAAGTTCTTCATATGTATATCATGTTGAGTCTCAAAAGAAGTGAAATTTTATAAAAATTTCAAAAATAATAATAATTTTATATAAAGATTACTAGTTTAAATTTTATGGTTTAAAAACTATTATTTATTAACAAAAAATAAACAATAGCATGCAATCGCATGTGATCGATATTCTTTAGTAATTAAACAACGGCTGTTGTTGTTTTTGCTCAGACTTAACAATTGTAATTTTATTTCGCTATATGATATATGTATAGAGACAATTAATATTAATTATAAAATTGAACTTGCAATAAATGTGAAATATGAAATTTACAAGCTTATGTTGATTATTTTTAAAACTTTATTATTATTTTTCTATTTTTAAAAGATTTCTTTTGATGATACAATTTATTACATGATGGTGTTAGGGTTCGTCTATAAAAGATGTCAAGTAGAATTTAAATTAGAAGTAGAAGATCATCGTCTTTTTTCTGCGAAGATTTTTATTGAACATAAATCGCTATATTACTTTAAACCCCCCTTAATGCCCTCCAGTAAAAAAGAAATATATATTTAAAAGAATACTTTTAAAATGAAAGTGGCAACGATATATTAATATTACAAATAAATCAAATTCTTAATAATAATTAATTAACATATACTGATTACTTTATAATATAAAAATATATAATTCTCAATATATCTTTGGAAATTGAAGTTTAATTTGATACATCGTTGTGAAACCACTTTTAATTTTGTGTTGATTTCAAACTCATCTTCAATAAATGTTACAGACATTATTTTATTTTTGCTGTCCAATCTATCTATGCAAAGCTAAAATGGAAAAGAAGAAAGAATATAAGAAAAAGATCCCACACATTCCTGGAACACATTTCAATTGCAGATATCTCAGGGAGGGGGGCGGATAATTAAGAAATATTTTGACAAATTCCTAATTTCATCAAAGCGCTGTAACAAATTTATTCCTAGTTAACACTCTGATCATATACACAACTTTTTATAGAAAAATACAATAACTTCCCTGAATAAAAAGATTATAAATGTTTTACTTTAATAAGAATGACTATCAAAAATTGTAAAGTCCTTCCCCCTCCAATTCCCCACCTACCCCCCTAACCCCAAAGAAACAACCAGCTATTCGTTTTGATTTTTTTTTAAATACTTTTTAGAGTATTGATTCCCATCAAACAAAAATATATACTTTTATTATTTATATTTTTTTGTGTGTTAACATCTTTATTTTAATTATAATTAATGTCACAATTTGAAAAATACATGATTTTCTAAGCTTTAAAAACTTTAGGTAAAAATAATGATACTTCTTATTGAAAATATATTAAATATGATTTGTAATGATAAAATTTTTCTGTTGAAACACAAACAATCAATTTGTTTCTATAAAAATAACTACATAAACTAGACAAATTTGCAACCTCCGTGAGTGACTTCTTTACATAAATGTGTGAACAACATTTAAACGATTGCTGTGATTCTGTAATACATAGTCCTATAACTTTCTTAAAGACTTAAATAATATATAAAATATTATTAAAAAAAAACTTAATACGATTAAAACTGAGAGATTAATTTAAAAATGATTTGATTTCAAAAAAAATTGATTCTTTGTTAACATCAATAAAGCATACCATTTTTTGTTTACAAAATATTTATATAGATATAATAATTGATTTAAAAAGTTTATAACTGTAAATCTGATTAGGTTGAATTAAAAAAAGCTAAAACAGTTTAAGTTTACAAAAAATTATAATTAAAAGTCTCACTTGTTGAATCAACTGCTGCTGTAGAACAAAAAGTTCATTTTGTTGCTGTTTTGCTTGTTCAAGAGCTTGTTGTTGTACTTGATTTTTAATAATAGCAGTATGCTGTTCCTTAAAAATTATGTTTTACTTAAAAATATATAGTTTTAAATATACAAGTTTTATATAACATTTCATAAATTATGTTTTAGTTAAAAATATATAGTTTTAAATATATAAGTTTTATATAACATATATATATATATATATATATATATATATATATATATATATATATATATATATATATATATATATATATATATATATATATATATATATATATATATATATATATATATATATATATATATATAATGTTATTATATACCCTCTCTCAACACTTTAACTCCCAAACACGAACCTTGACAAACAAGGCTACTGCACAGATAAACAAGTTAAGTGTGGTATTACCAGGGATGTGATGAGGACGTGATGGGGATCGATTATGTAAACAAACAAAAAAGTTAAAGAGGAGATTTTACACAGTGGCCGGTGTTGTTTTTTTTTATTTTTTTCAAAGAGTTTAAAAAAATTCATAAAAATTATTAGTTTTAAAAAGCGTTTTACAAAGAGTTTCTTCTAATAATTTTTTTAAATTGCGCTTTTCTCGAAATATGTAATTAAGGCCTTTTGAAAAACGGCTGCAGTATATCAAAAACAAAAAAAAGAAGCGATTTAAATGAAAACTTTAGAAGATTGCTCATAATGAAACAAGTTGATTAATTAAAATTAAACATATATAAAGTAGAAAAATAAGCCTGCTGTAAATGTAACTCCTAACAAAAATAGAAAATTTATTTTGATTAAAATTAAATGACAGAATGTAAGGACCGTTTTTTTTTTTTTTTTTTTAGCCGCACCTAAATTCCCAATTTCCCAAAAATGCTGTATGAAATTTTTTCCTGGGTAACACCCTGCTTATATACTTTATGTGTGGCTATATATATATATATATATATATATATATATATATATATTTAAACAATTTAAAATGTATTCTACTAAAAGAGTGCTCAATGTTCTTAAAAGAACAGAGCAATTACAAATTAGTAGAAAATCACTTAGCAAAATTTTTTCTCCATTAACACTGTGTTTCATCAATTAAGACTTATCAGAAATGCATTTCTGATGAGTCTTTATTGATGAAACACAGTGTTAAATGAAAAAAAATTTTGCTAAGTGATTTTCTACTAAATTATATATATATATATATATATATATATATATATATATATATATATATATATATATATATATATATATATATATATATATATATATATATATATATATATATATATATATATATATCATAGATGAGTATTTGACTTTATGAAAATCCTGGAAATTTTTTTCTGTGAAAATCCTGGAAAATTATTTTATTAAAAATTGATCGTATTAACTGATATCAAAAACTTTCGTAAACTTTTAAAATGGAATTTAAATTATTTTACTTTTTACAAAAAGGAATTTTTATTACTCAAAAATTAATTTAAATGAATAAAAAAAATTAAAAAATTGTTACAAAAATTGATCTCGTGAAAATTTTATTTATAGAAAACATATTTGTTTAAATGCAAAAGTTGTCATACTAAAAATTTTATGTAAAAGTATATAAACTTTTTTTCAAATTAATAACAAAAAAAATCTGGAAATTTCTGAAAAATTAAAGAAGTTTTAAGTGGATTTCCGGAATTCCCAGAATAAAATCATCAATGATATATATACATACATATATATATATATATATATATATATATATATATATATATATATATATATATATATATATATATATATATATATATATATAAACTATGTTAGTTTATTCTACAAATAAAGTGCTTAATGTTCTTAAAGAACAGAGTACTCTATTACTCACTCCATATTGAAGGTAGAACCTACATTGAAACACAATGTTCTTGAATAAACTTTCAAAAGAAATTTAAGTAAAAGCATATTAGATAATTTTTTAAATCAAGTTTTGTAATGTTATAAAATTTGCATACATCACACATTTAAAGGAACAAACAAGCACTAATATGTTCAGATAGAAGAAAATAATGAATAAAATTTACTTAATTATTCCAAATTTATTTGAATAATGAATGCATAATACTGTTACAAAAACATATTGTCTAATGTCAAATAAAAATAGTTAATTGCAACTACACTTTAGACATTAGATCAACTAAAATACCCTCTCCATAAACAATCAAAATTTGCATAACACTGTCAACAGTGGTAGTCAACAAAGAACAAGGATTTACAAGAAGCAAAACAAAATTCAGAAGAATTCTATTATTCTAAAAAGAAGTTAATATAATAATAAATCTTTTTAGTATAAAATATATTCCAAATATTATTAATAACCTATAAGATACTCCAGCTCTAACGTTTGCCTTATCCCAGGCTTCACCTTACATCCTAGCAACAATCTGCTCAAAATTCAGTAGCATTATGAATTCAGTACCAGACTTTGACTGGATTAGACATGTATAATAAATGATCATAATCATGGTTGTACAATAAACAAGTTTTGATTGGGTACCACAAAGCAAAAATCTATTATTGCAAAAAAAAAAAAAAAAAAAAAAAAAAAAACCTTGAATGCAATTGGTTATGATAGTTAACTCAAGGTTTTAATTTACCTTACATTTTAATTTAAAAAAAAGAGAAAACATTTTTTATATTTTGTGATGCAGAAGAATTTTTTTCCAAAAAAATATTATGCCTAAACGGGTGCTTGAAAAATTAGTTTTATCCAAAATCTATTCAATGTGCAGTTATCTATATTTAAATTAAAATATTTATAACCATTATAAAATTTTTTAACTCAGTTTAATAAAAATTAAAGGTTTATCAAGGTTTTACTTGACTTTAAGATGGTTTACAACATGAATATTGTTTGGAAAAAATGAAACAATTTTATTGTTAATTAACATGCATTAATATAAATTATTAATGCATGTTAATTAACAGTTTTTTTACAATTCTCTGTTTATTAAAATATATTATATTTATGATGTAAAAATTTTAGAATAAGTTTTGTGAAACTTAGATAGAACACATATAAAAATCTAAAAGAACACACAAAAAAACACATATAAAAAGCATATTTCTACACAAAAAATATACTTGTTGGTTAAATTTAATAGAAATTTATTAATTTTATTAAAGTATTCAACTTAAGATTCAATAAACTTATTTCTATAAAAAAAACTTACTTGCAATTGTTTTAGTTGCTGCTGTCTGATAACATTTTGGAGATTTTCATTCTGTTTAAGTACAGTGTTTGAAGATTGCTTAATTGGAGAAATCATTACATTAGTATTAGGTTGTTGCAAAGCAGATTGAGTTGTTTGATTGTGTTCTTTAGATATTGAATTTTGTAAAGACGAGATAGTAGAAGTGACAACATGCAACTGATTTGTACTTTGTAATATATGTTGTTTCATTTGATCTTCATTAAGATGAGAGGAACCTTGATTCATTAACAATCCTTTATTAAGAGTAAACAAATGAGGTTCAATTTTTTCCAAAGTTTGTAAATGCTCACTCATAGCTTTGTCAAATGCTGAGGGAAGAACGGAAACTGTAAATGTTTTTAATGATGAATTAGAAGAAGCTTCTATTAATGTATTCTGAAGAGGATTGCAAACAACTACACTTGAAGGATTTATTGTTACAGAGCTAGAAATAGGAAAATGAGAAAGACGAATTCCTTGACTGTTAACACAAGATGTAGAACTCACTATTTCCATCTTTGGACGTATACTTTGCACAAAAGACTTTGGGCGAATGGATTGAAAAGAATTCATTGAAATAGGTTGTATATGCTGCAAAGCAGGCAGTTGGTTATTTTTTATAAGATTTGAATTGACAATTAGAGGCAAACGATTACTTTGAACTTGTTGAGCATGCTGTTGATCTGTTGAGCTTGGAATAAGTATAACTGGTTTGTGCTGGATATTATTTTGTATAACATCTTGTGAACTTAACTTTTGTGACACTGTTTGAGGTGGTTTATTTAGATTATTAACTATGAGAACTTTTCCTGACACTCCTAAAATATAATAAAGATTTTTCACAAATCATCTTACGCTCTTAACAAAATTTACTTCAAGGCCAGAAAGTTCAATATAGAAAAAAAGTTTTTTCCATAACGTACTATAAAACATATAATATGTTTTAAAAATATTATAAAACAAAAAAACAAAAACACTATTAATTAAAAAAACTTTCTAGTCATTACTATTGCGGTTTTTTAACAAATTATAAAACTTAATGTACTTCTGCATTATTTTAATTGCTTCAACTTTTAGACAACATTAAAATGTAGCTTTATTGTTGTTGAATGAGACTTTTTTTTACCATAAAAATCTCTTACCACTACAATGTAAGGATATATATATATATATATATATATATATATATATATATATATATATATATATATATATATATATATATATCTGATAATATTAATACGCTAATTTAATATTATTAGACGAATTACGTCATTTTCTAGGCTTTTCTATTTTAAAGTAGTTTCTAGGCTTTTCTATACGCGGGTTTTTTTTAATTTTATTTACTAACAACGCGTATTACGGGTTGCTTACTGCTAGTATATATATATATATATATATATATATATATATATATATATATATATATATATATATATATATATATATATATATATATATATATATATATATATATCTATAAAAATTTGCAAATTCCATGCATGACTTTCTTGCTTGACCATACATGAACTGCATTTTAATGATTACTGTGACTTTATTATACATAATGCAATCCTGAAACTTTTTGGAAATCTCTACTCATATCTACAATACTATTATTATTTTTTTAATATACTGCTACAACTTTCGATAAACTAAACTTTATTTATCTATAACTAAAACATGCATTTTCCTGTTCCATTTGTAATTCTGCTTCAAACTTAATTTATTCCTTTGTAACATTACTAATGTATACCATTCTTTGTTTTCAAAATATTCATAGATTAGAATTAAATGAGATTGCCAGTTATGAAAATAATAAACAAAACATATATGAGTATCCATGTGTAATTTTTTGGATATATATATATATATATATACATATACACACACACACACACACACATATATATATATATATACTCACACACACACACACATATATATATATATATATATATATATATATATATATATATATATATATATATATATATATATATATATATATATATATATATATATATATATATATATATATATATATATATATACACACACACACATTTATTGTGCACAAAACATCATTGATTTTATCTTTGTGAATGAAATATTAAACTAAGGGTTCAAATTTAGGCAGCCAGTATTATGTTTTTTTACTGTATTCACCTTCCCTAAAGGTACAGTTGAGAAGACTACTCTGTTTTTCTTTTTCTTTTTAAATTTGTTTTGATAATCTCTAAAACACAAACACAAACAAGAACAAGGTTGTTAAAGAAACAAATTAAGCAAGATACTTGAGATATGATATTTGTGACATTTGGAGATGAGATATTTGCAACATCAAAAAGTGTGTGCACCAAAACACATTTTTAAACTAAAAATTAGATATAAAATGTAAAAATTAAATGCAAATACCAGCAAGATTTGCAGGTAAAATAACTGTTTGCCCGAAGTTTGTTTTTGCGCTACTGATCTGATTCAAAACCATTGAAGATGAAGAACTAGTACTTTGCAAAGAAGGTTGTTGACTTATTGATGAAATATTCGATACAATTTGTGATGCTTTTTTTAAATGAAGATTTTGAAGTGTTCCATTGGTAGCAGGTAGTAAAGGAGAGAGCATTCTAGAACTATTAACTGGGGTTTTAGCGGAATGATTTGTTCGATTTCGTAAAATAGTAGGGGGCTGTCTCTTAATATTTGTTTGAGTTTTCAAAAGATCAGCTTGTTCATTTGCATTTATTAACAAGCTGTTAATTCTACCAATATCAGAGGCACACATATCATTTGCTGATGAATCTACTAAAAAACTGTTATTAGATGCAGAATTTGCTTCTATACTCTTATTTCCAATAGCATTATTTGTTCCCCTACTAATGTCATCTGAAGAATTTTGAAATGAAGCTTTGTTTGCAGGAGATGTTCCAGTTGCAATTGATGCAAGAAATGAAAGGCGATTAAATTCTTGTTGAAAGGATGTTTGATTTGAATTCGCCATAATAAAAACTAAAAAGAAAAAAAGAAGCAAGAATTATATATATATATATATATATATATATATATATATATATATATATATATATATATATATATATATAAACAAGAGAAACATTTTTTCATTATCAGGGTGTTAATATATAGTCTGCAATAGACACAATAAGGCAAGTGCAGATATATATTATTATATACATATAATAAAGCATATGAACATATAATAAAGCATATGGATGAATTTGGGGCCTTTTGGAGGATATTTTTAAAAATCCCTAAAAGATTTAGCTTATTTTGTAGTCATTTATTTTATCATTAATTCATATTGTCTAATAAATCATATATTCAAGGAAATAATAACCTCTATTTAATCAGTAATAATAATACAATATCAAAATAAAACCTACACAAAATAGTTGAAAAAGTTGCAATTGGGCCTTTCATTTCTAAAGTAGGCTATTAGTTGATAACAGTGTTTTTAAAATAAATATATGAAATAAAACTTAAATAAATTGAATTTAAAATACGCAGCTATAATAATAAGAGCTGGTTTTCATTTATTCTTACAAAATATAATTCAAAATATTTTTTATTTTTATTTATGTCACTGCCCATAATAAACTTGTATATATTTTTAGAGGAAATAGAGGGATGAAAGATTGCCTAAGAGATGGCTAGTCCACACAGGCCCACTGACAATGCAACTGTTTAAGGTATACAAAATCAGCTTTTACATTACTATTATCTGAGTCAAAATCTTATAAAAATGAAACTCTGTTTTACATAAGTATGGTGTGAAATGTTTTGAATAAATTATGAACCTAATAACATATAATAATTTTGAACACTTGTGTAGTTTTTAGTAGTGATATCTGATATTAAAATTTATATTAAAAAAAATAGTAACAGATTTTTAAAAACTTCCTATAAATTTTCATATTTTTTATTTTTCATTGTTAATACTTCTTTTTAACTAAAGAAACATCATTTTAAGCACTTCCTAGCAATATATAACAGAATATTATTTAAACAAATGCCTAATATATAAGGTGTTGGGTTTGATACTATTATTTTAAAACCTGGACTAAAATGGATGAAATTTAAAGTTTAATTTAAGATTCAAAAATCAACTTTATTAATGATGAAAATAACGTTGCTAATTAACCTAAATTTGATATGCACAAACTTGTTAAATTATATAATCATTATAAACTTTTAAAACTTTGTAATGATTTAATTGCTTTTACTTTAAAGCTGTAATAAAAATATTAGAAAAATACATCTCTGAAAATCTGTTTTTCAGTAAATTTTAACTTTTTAATTGGCAAAGAAAATATTTATATTTTAAGTATGAGTATGTTTTAATACATAACTTTGACATATTTTAACTTTTTGCATGACTTAAAATTTTTTTTCTTAAACAATTACTTTATTTATAATTATTATTTCAGTAAAGTTAATTAATGACAACATTTTTTCTTAAATTTTATTGGATTTTAATAACTACTTATAAAAAGTTATATTAATGCTTTCTTAAAGAGAGAAATAGTCAGTAAAAGGCGCCAATGCGGCTTCACAACATTAACACGTGAAGGGGGATTCCTCTACAAAACATGGCTGCTGTTCGAACAAAGAAAAAATGGCCTAAACCCGAGTGATGTCAGATTTAAAAAATAAACGAACGAACCAGAATCGATCCTCTACCTAAAGTTAAAAATTGGAGTTAATTTAGCGATACAATAAATAATTACCTCAACGGTTCATCAGCACTCACTTCGATGCCATTTTAATAACATGATCAATTTTAGTACGATATAATCATAAATATAATGCCGAGTATTTTTACCCCTTAAATCAGGCAAAATAAGTAGTTAGGGTACTGGCAAAGTATTCATTTGATAGGCTAGTATTTGTTTTTAAAAACTTTTAATTATAAACAAAAAATAATTATAACAGCCTTGTTTTATTTTCATTTTTACATTAAGGTGCTAAATAAGTTTTACGTACGAATAATTATTTTCTGCTGATTTATAAATCGTCACTTACCATAGTTTGATCGCTTCTTGATTCTTTGATTTAAGTTTTATCGGGTGTCCGCATAATTAGCAAAACTTCAGGGTCAGTTAAATTATGCAAATTACTTATGCTTTTTCATAATTTATACCTGAGTTTCAAACTTTTATCGTTAGATCCAAAAATTTATGTTTATTTATTTCTTTTGATTATTCAAATCATAAATTGCATTGCAATTTAATAAACACAATGAGTTTTTTTGGTTGATTCCCTAGATAAAAAGAGGTTGTGTATTAAATTATTGTGAATGAAAATAACTGTTTCAATGATCGCAAAAATATATAAAACATTTAAATTATATCTTAAAAACCTTTTAATAAGAATAATTTTCTGATTTAACTATATAAGTATATATTTTTATATGTTTATATTTAACCTGAACACCACACACAGTATATACTTTGTTTAGACCATTTATTATTTACTTATATCAGCTTTTATATATATTTTTTTGAATTAGTTTATTAACTTTTAGAGTTAATAAGCTAATTCTTATTAAAAACTTTACTAACAGTAACGTCTTTATTAAGTTGTTTAAAATTTTCTTAAATTTTAAATAACTTAATAAAGACCTTACTGCTAGTAGATAAAATCAACTAAATAAATTCCCACATTACCTTTTGAGTGTTATTTTTGAGTGAAGCATGTTGAGTACAGTACTTCCAGAGGGGTAGTATAGTCAATCGATAATGACATCTATCTATAGTTAATAATAATCTGTTGTCTTAAAAAAAGTATAGTTTTTTATACTCTTCACTCCAGTGTTATTACTGTTCGTGCATCACTCTATTGCATAACTTTTACTTTTAAATTCTGCAGAAAATAAAAGTATTTTTTTTTAGTGACTTCATTATCAAGCTCTAAAGCTGATGCTTATCTAATGATGTCTTAACTTCTTTTGATTTATGTGTTTTAAACATATTCATGTGGAACTTCACTTATTACTATAAAAAAATATCAACGTTTTTTTATAGTAATAACGCACCTACTGCCTACCAACAAAAAATCCAAAAAATAGCTCACAACCCAACTGTATTTCTACAGATATGCTTATTTTGCATTAATAAAAGAACTTAACCATTTCAATCAAAAACATATTTTGCTTATTTAGGACTTTTATGGTTATATCGATCCTAATTACAGGGTCAAACAAGAATATTTTGGAAGAAAGGCAATGTACTAAGTTATTCATAGACATATAAAACTATATGTGAGGCTTAATACAGTAACATAAGCACATGGAGTTTACATTGATTTGCAGAAAGCATTTAATACTGTGGATTATGGAGTTCTATTCATCAAAGGTTATCATTATATCAAGGTTATATTGTTATGGTATCAGAGAAATTGGTCATATATAGATTAAATAATACTATTTAATTAAATTAAATAAATTTGAACCATTCTTAATTTGTTACTGTTTCCTATACTTTTTTAATACTAAATCCATAACATTAGGTTTTCCCAGGGCTCAACTTTTGGTCTTTTTTTTCTTATTCATGTAATCAGTCTTAATACGTTTAAAATAGATTTTTTTAATATCACTATTTTATTATTATCTTTAATAATATAGTTAATGTTATTTTTGTTAATGTTTCTACTAATATTGGTCTTAGATTAGATGAAATCAATCAATATATATTTCTGAAATATTTGATTGATTACCTTCTGTTATAAAGTAAAGGTTAAAGTTCATTAAATTCTATTAAAGGTTAAAGTTTGTTAAACTTCGTCTTGAGATTATTTATATTTCCTGCTAAACCATCAATTAAGAGCACAAAGATTAATTGGGGGTTTGGGTAAGATCATCTAAGTATGATAGGTATATATTATAAAATAAAGAAAAAAAAATAATTCTTTTTTTTTTCACAGTTTAGTGTAAAAAAGTGTTTAAAAAATCATATTTAAATGAAATCAGATTTAAATCCTGAGTGTGACAATGAAGATTCATTTAATATTCTGCAGATACTTGGAAAAGGTGGTTGTGCAACTGTATATTTAGTAAAGCACAAGAAAACTGCAAGGTTTTTATTTAATTATAATATGTATAGTTTATTTTAAAAGTTTCATAGACAATGTTATACTTATGAAGTTTCATTATTAAATATAAATTAAATTTTTTCAAAATAAGTTTAAAAAAAAAAACAACTTAGATGAGTGCAATGAATGGGTTAAGTTAGAAAAGTTAATTAGAAAAATGTTAATGAAAGCTACAGGCTATAATTAATTTTTTGTGTTGTCGCAAAATAATTTTTTTTTTGTTTTATAAAATTTTTCAATTGTTTTTTATTTATTTGTTTTTTTTAGACTTTTTGCTATGAAGAGAATTGAAATTGATCCTTCTAAAAAAACAAGAAGTAAAGAGCATGTTTTGAAAGAAGCACAGTAATTTTTATAGTTCCTTATAAGGTATTCCATGAGAAAATTAATAGCAAATGGGTTTGGTGATAATTTTACTTTAAAAGTCAGCTATTTTTGTCAGTTTTTCAGTAGCACCAGTATAGCTTTTAAGAAAATAATCAGTTTTTGATATTTGTTGTCTATAAAAACAATTAGAACTATATCAATATAGGGATTGTACTTTGCACTTTGTGTTCATAACTTCTTTTTTTAAATTATTTGACATTGACAGTTTTCATTTGTCGTCGAGGTTTATACAAAAGAAAACTAATGTAACCTATTCCTTAATGAAGTCTAAATTTTTGCTTACTATTTGATGACACATTATGTCAGGTGATCTTTTACTAAAACAGTAGAAACACGCAGTATTAAAATGGGAAGACTTAGTATTAATTTAATATTTTACTAGCTGTTGTTTTTTCTCCATAGTTTATCATTAAATTAAAAAAATAAGCTATATAATCAAAATTATTAAAAATTAAAAATATCATAAAAATTAATATATTAATATAAATTAATCATATTTAAAAATACTAGTGATAAAAGTTTTCTCACCTTAAAACTGTATATATGTGTTTGTATTTTGTGTTTATTTATAGTTGAATTAAAAATTAAAAGTATAAAATGGTTAGTATCATTTTTTTTTTAACACCTTCACTTCCAACAAAGCTGCATGCAACCACTATTAGAGTTGGAAGTTACTGGAAGAGAAAAAATGAAGTTTATAGAGCGAGATAATAATTGTCAGATGACTTAAAATATTGCAAATTATATGAATCAGGTAAACAACATAAAAAAAGCGAATTCCAAAGAACTGATATTCAAGAAAAAAAACTGGACAAATAAGAATTTTTAGAACATTTAGGCACAGTCACAGTAAAAGAATGAGACTTAATAGAATGGCGAACAACACAAGAATGAATTTTAGTAGATGGCACAAAAGACACTTTTTAGAATAGTGCACGTTATATTATTTTCAGAAAAAAGAAAGAGAAGCAAAATTACGATGATGTAATAATGGTTGGAGGTTGGTTGCATGAGAAGGACCTACAATGTTTACAATGCATTTTTGCACCTTGTCTAAAAGAGAAAGGGCATCATTGGAAGATCTACCCCAGATATAGCAACAGTATTCCATTCAAGGATGGATTTGAGATTTATAGAGATAAAGAATAGAATCTGGATTAAGAAAGTGTTAAGCACAATAAAGAGATGCAACTTTGGCAGATTTTTGAAATGGGTTTGATATATAGTTTCCAAAAAAAGGTAGGAACTAAAAGTTGATCCTAGAAGATGAAGGGTAGATGACTCATTAAATACATTATATAATACCGTATATATATATATATATATATATATATATATATATATATATATATATATATATATATATATATATATATATATATATACCGTTTATAAATATAAAAAAGTCAAGATTATTGTGATAACAATTAACTGAAAAAAAGGGTTTTAACTGAGTTAAAGTTCATCAGCCACTGCGAGCCCCATGCTGTAGCAGAAGTGAGTTCCTTTTTAAGCTCAAATACCCCCTCCAAGCAATCAGAGAGTGTTGGCTTCTTATCAAGACAAGAATAAAAGATAGTATCATTAGCAAATAATGCCACATAGAGAATTTCTGGGAGATTGTTAATTTAACTTAAAAAGAGTATAGGGCCAAGAATAAAACCTTGAGAAACCCCTGAAGTTACAGAATATGAAGAAAAGTGCTTTCCATTGAGGACAACTTTTATACTACATTTGGTAAAAAAGGATTCATCAAGGAATCTTTAAGATGTTACCTGATATACCATAAAAAGAAAGCTTATGGAGAAGACCAGCATGCCAAACTTTATCAAAGGCTTCAGAAATGTTAAGAGCTCTCCACATCTATCTAATGCATGATAAAACCTATCGGTTATTACCGTTAACAATTCAGCAGCAGAACGAAAAAAATAAAATTCATACTGATGATCAAAAAAGTTATTAGATTCAAGATGAGAGAATAAGTGCTTGTTATTTAAAGACTCGATAACCTTGCTTATGATAGGAAGAAGACTAATGGAATCGTAATTAGATGAGTCAGATTGCTCTCCAGAGTTTTTAAAAATAGGAGGATAACAGATGCTGTTTTCCAGCAGGCTATAAAACAAGACTCTGAAAGGCACTTGTTAAATAGTTTTAAAAGTATAAACGACAACTTTGGAGGACATTTCTGCAAGACTATAACAGGTATGTTGTCCGGTCCATAAGCTGTAGAAGAGTCCATAAGCTGGAGAAGCAAAGGTCAATAAGCTGGAGAAGAGAAGCAAGAAATCAAATTAGATACAGAAGCTGTAGTGATAGGAATGTCAAGTAATGAGTCAACCTGTTTGTTGGCAATATCATGGGGACGTAGCTAGTGGAATCAAGAGGTGATATTGACGAAAAGTTCTTTGTTTTAGGTGAAGTAAAAAAATCTGAACCATACAAAAGAGATGCCTTTATTATTGATACTGTTAAAGATTCTTCAGAAGTCCTGAAAGCCTAATTTTTGAGATAATAAACAGATGTCTGTTTTCTGGAGAATTGTTTTGCTGATAGATATAGTATAAGTAATGGTTTTGATAACAAATCGCAGCTGCACAATACGAGGAAAACCATGATAAAGATTGAGGCTTGACTTAGAATTATCGAGAGGGAATAAAAGATTCCATTTTAGCCTAAATCCAAAAAGTTATGTAAGAAGCACATTTGTCAACAGGAAGACGGAAGATTTCTATTCAAGGGCCATCGTGAAGAAAATCACGCAAAGAGTCCCAGTCAGCTTTAAGGTAGTTGTAAAAGGTACAATGATAAGAGGGATTCTGATGATGAAGAAGAATGAGATAATAATTTTAGAGAGATCAAAGCACGTAATCAGAAGCACCTAAAGGTGAATGTGGAGAAACCAAGCACTAACTAGGATCAGAAACAAGACATAAGTCGAGTTAAGAAGTTAAATGATTTGGATTGTCTGAAAAACGAGTTGAAAAGTTGACTATTTGAGTCAGAGATCAAGAAAGGCAAATTTTTGGGCTTTAACGCCTGCAGAATTACTAACACTTGAGTCATTCAGTGTGATGAGCATTAAAGTCACCAACAACAGGGGTTTTGGCTGAAAGATTATGAGAGATGGCTGGGTCAATTTGATCAGAAATAACGTTGAAAAGTGTGCAGTCTTGGGATGAAGGAGAGTAATATAGAACGAAGAGAAAAGCGATAGATTGAAGTGGTGCTAAACAAAAGCACATAGAAGAAAAGTCTGTGGTTTTAAACCTAGTTTCTCGACAAATGGGTTAATTCTTAGAAATGTAATTGTCTAGGCCAAGCATGTGACTATTGGAGTCTTTACGAATTAAAGGAAGATAACAAACATTTTTGTGTTTAACAATATGTTATCTTTAGAAAAAAAAAGAAAATGTTCTTTTTTTTTTCTAAAGATAACATATTTGTCATCCACTTCTTGTTTTTAAAAGGCAAATATATTTTTTTAGTCCATAAATTGTTGAGTCACCAATTAAATAATGCAATGACTTTATCTGGTACAAGAAGTTTCCACCCATTTATTTCACAGGATTCAACAAACATCAATGTCAAAATAGTCTTTGAGGAATATAAAGAGAAGAATAAGGAATATTATATATATATATATATATATATATATATATATATATATATATATATATATATATATATATATATATATATATATATATATATATATATATATATATATATATATATATATATATATATATATATATATATATATATAGAGAGAGAGAGAGAGAGAGAGAGAGAGAGAGCAGTAGGAATTTAGTCATTCAACCTTACTGGCTCAATAGAATGTCTTCAAGAAATTATTGCAGGATAATATTATATCTGCAAAAATGATATGCTTAACTACATTGGTTTGGTATCAGTAATTGATGATGAAAATTAAGAAGTCCTTGTAAAATTTATACATCCTTCTTTACTTAACACTTTATTACAGTTTTTTTTATAAGCAGTTGACCTTTGGTTTCTTATAGATTAGTTTCTTATTTAAAAATTGTATTTTTTTAATTTTTTAAAATTAAATTTTAGAAGTAATATTTTACATGTTATGAATTAAATTTTTCAAAATAAAAAAAAGTAGACTATAGGTTATTAGAATTTTCAAAACAGCTGTAGGTGAAGTACAATTCTCATATTGATATAGTTCAAATTGTTTTTATAGAAAACATTCATCATATTCCTTGTCTTAAAAAATTATAGAGTGCTAATTTAAAGGTCACACGAAAAGTTGAACTGTAACTCGTAAAACAAAAATTTACAAACAAACAAAAAAATTCCCAAAATAAGTTGAATTTAAAGTAAAAATATCTCTAAAACCTATTTGATATCAGTGCTGAAAGTATGCATAGTTGTCTATGTAATATAGGTGACCATTTTTACAAAGTATAAAAAGATCTTAAATGATAGGCTACATGCTGGTCCAACTTTCTCATGGAATATATATATTCCATATATATATATATATATTTATATATATATATATATATATTTCATATATATATTTATATATATGTATATATATATATTTATATATATATATATATATATATATATATATATATATATATATATATATATATATATATATATATATATATATATATATATATATATATATATATATATATATATATGCAGAGGTCAAAACATAACGTTTCTGCCCCTTTGATATATATATATATATATATATATATATATATATATATATATATATATATATATATATATATATATATATATATATATATATATATATATAATTCATATATATATATGTATATATATGTATATGTATATATATATATATATATATTATATATATATATATATATATATATATATATATATATACACAAAGGTCAAAACATAAAATTTCTGCCCCTTTGATATATATATATATATATATATATATATATATATATATATATATATATATATATATATATATATATATATATATATATATATATACATATATATATATATATATTATTTGATAGTACAATCCTTTCGGTTAATAATGGAAAATAATTTCATTCAAATGGCTGCCTCAGCTGGCCATGCAGTAGCCTACACGATCGGTCCAATTTTTAAGCACATTATCGATTGTGTGCAGCCGTATTTCACCAACGGTTTCACAAATATTGTCTTTTAAAGCGTCAATTGTCTCTGGCTTGTCGGCGTAACACTTATCTGTGAGGGCACCCCACAAATAATAGTCCAATGGTATCAAATCGCAGCTCCGAGGTGGCCAAACGACATCAGCTCTTTATGCAAAATTCGTCTCAATGATGTCTCCGAAATGTTCAATTATTGAGAATGACGGTGAACTGATGTTGATGGCGCTTCATGCACACTTTCTGCGATACCAGCAATATTCTCGGGTGTACGCACTGTTTTTGGCTTTTCACCCTTTGGTTTATCGATGAGGATGCCAGTTTCTTTCACTTTTTTCACAAGATAACGAACATACGGAGCTGACGGTGTTTCTCCTCTTCCAAAATCCATACGCAATTTTCGCACATTCTGCAACATTACCATGATTTTCAAAGTAATGTCGCAATATTTCCCAGCGTTGTTCAAGCGTATACACAACCATATTCGTTCAGCGGAAGGATAAAACTTATTATCTGTGAAATAAGCACTAGTTGAAAAAAAAAAATGTTAGATGGCCCTGTATATATATATATATATATATATATATATATATATATATATATATATATATATATATATATATATATATATATATATATATATATGTTTATTATTAGTTCAATAAGGATTTTATTTTACCATTAAGAATAATTTATGTACTATATGGACATTTATTTACAAGCTGTAAAATCTTTAAAAACATTTTTAAATTTTTATTTTAAAAGCAGACATAAAATTTTTTTTCATGCAAGGCTAAATTTTCAAAGATCTATATAAATATATGTATATATATATATATATATATATATATATATATATATATATATATATATATATATATATATATATATATATGTATATATATATATATATATATATATATATATATATATATATATATATATATATATATATATATATATATATATATCAGAGTGTAAACTAACCCTGTTGCGCCCCGTCAAACGCGTTTTTCCCAAATACTCATAAATTTAAAATTTCCAATTTAAAGATGAAAAAATCCCATTCTCTAAATAAAGTTCCCAAATTAAAGTTTAATAATAATTTTTAAAATAATTTAAAATTATTATTCAAAACTAATAGAAATAATAGAACATAAAAAAATTCTAATTTATTAATTGCGTTAAACATGAAATCAAGTTGCCATTATTGGTATAAAAACGCAATTGCATAACTGCAAAAATTGGTTTCTTGGAAAAAACATTATGAGAATTGGGATATTTGGAGTGATTTTTGGGATTTTTGTGACAACTTGCAATAAAGTTTGAAAATAGTTTTTTGCAATGCATTCCAACAACAGCAAATATTATATAAAAAAGTTAGCAAAGTACTAATCTAAAAGATCCAAAATAATAACAAACTTGTTTGGTTTAACACCCGCAAATGCTATTTCTTTAAAAGTTTCGCCCTAAAAAGTTAAATAACTTATTAAGTCTTAGCGTAAACTCAACTTTAAGTAGTACATGTATTTCGTCAACAAAAACATCAAGAAGGTTATGTCAGATACCTTTTGATCAATTACAGTTATTACGGAAAGTCTTTCAGTTATTGTTTTTCTTTTTTTGTTTGGTATTTTATATCAACTAAATTTGCTAAAGTTTTTTACTTTTTTACTGTTATTCTTCGATGCCACGCGTGCAATCGCTTGCTAATAATATTACTCTATAATTAAACAACATTTGTTGTTGTTTTTGCTGAGACTTTGTGATTATAACTTTTTTTTTTGCTATGCGATTTATGTATAAAATAAATTATTATTAATTATAAAATTGAACTCGCAGTAAATGTGAATTATGAAATTTATGACCTCGTGTTTACTATTTTTAAAACCTTACATATTTTCAAAAAATTTCTTTTGATGACACAATTTAATTCATGATGATGTAAGGGTTCGTCCGTAAAGTACGTCGAGCAGAATTTAAATAATAATTAGAAGTAGAACATCATTGGAGATACTATATTACATTGAAAAAGAAATATATATTCAAAATAATACTCTTGAAATGAAAGCAGCGACAATATATAAAGATTAAAAATACATAAAATTAATTATTCTCAATAATAACTAATATACACTGATTATTTTATAATAAAAAAAGATATCAATCCTAATATATGTTTGGAAATCGGTTCTTAGTTTGATATGTCGTCGTGAAACAACAGCTAACTTTGTGTTGATTTCATATTCATCTTTAATGGTACAAATGGAATTTTATTTTATTTAAGGATCAATCAATGTATGCAGCGCTGAAGTAGAGTAAAAAAAAAAGAACGCCAAAAAAGGACCCCATGCTTTCCCAGAACACATTTAATCTTAGGGGAGGGGGGGTGATTGAGAAATACTTCAATTTTACAAATTCCCAATTTCGTTAAAACGCTGTATCAAATTTATTCCTGGTTAACACCCTGTATGTATATATATATATATATATATATATATATATATATATATATATATATATATATATATACACACGTATATGTGTGTATATATAAATATATATTTCTCGGAATTAGGGTTGGTCGACCTAACTGCCAACCTTAAAGTGTTTGAGGTCAGCAAAAGATTGTCAACCTTATTTTTCCTAATTCTGAGGGTCATGCGAAAATAAACCAAGAAAAAAGAATTAATATTGACAGACATTAAAAGAAGATCTTAATTGAATTATTTTAATTTTTTGATGCCCACCTTGTAAGCCACCTTATAAGCTTGTTTCAAAAAAAGATCAACCAAAGGTTTAAAAAACAAATTAAGATTTACACAATGTTAATGTTCAAATCAAGTCAAACTTTGATGAAACATTGTCAAAATCTGAAAAAATAACACCTCTCGCACTAATTCCATATAGTTAGACAATAGAGAAAACTTTGCAGCATTTCAAAATTTTGTAAATAAAAAAAACATGATTTTGTTTAAAGATGGATTTTCAAAAATTTGTGAGAAGACCCAAGCAGTGCATACTTTTTGGTGATGCTTCTGGTTTGCATATAATTTTTGTTTGTTTGTGTAGGGTAAAAGTTTTTTTCGTTTTTGCTTTTGCAGAAAACTATACTTTTCTAATACAGGCAATGCAAAATTTTTACTGAAATAGCAGCCAGGCGACTTTGTTGTTTATTTTGTAAAAGATGAAAAAACTTGTTAGTCAAATCATCATACAAAAATGTTACTAATGCTATAACTAAACAAAATAAACAAGACCTCAGCTTAATTTTCCAGAACTTTAGACACTCTTTTGATTTTATAAAAATCCACTAATTTTTTTGGTTTTTTGTTAATAAATTCTCTTTAATAGATGTTTAAAATGTTTTAAGAAGAAAAACATCTTAAAGTTGTTTAGCATCAGGGATCTATTTTTAAAAAATCTTGATCCAGCTCACTTTCAACTAACACTTTCTAAAACAGTTATCAGTTTTGTATCAGTTTTTAATCTTTTAAGATCAAGCCAAAAGCCATTAAGATCGCCAAAAGTTTTGATTGAAAAACAAAAGTATCAATACTAGCCTGCCATTATGGAAAAAACAAAAATGTTTGAGTTTAAATTTTTTTGTGTTCTAAAAGAATCCATTTTATGATAGCAAGTTTTTCTAAAACTTGCTATTTAAAAAAAAATTAAAGTATAAAACTAACTTGTTAAAAAGTTATTATTTGTTAAAAACAATGAAAAAACCTTTTTTACTTGAAGAGGAAATGCAAAGTTGCCCACTACCTAAATAGTATTTTTTCAAGAATCGTATTAGATATTGATCAGAAATTTGACATGCATTTCTCAAATATATGTACAAAATTGAAAGGTTTTAGTCAAATCTGAAATGCTTCATGAAGAAACTTTGCTCCTCTTGGCGAGACTTTGGAGTGACCCAATTTTAAAAAATTTCTTTTTACATTTTTCAGACTTTTATTTCGACTTAAACATCCTCATATTGTATCATGCAGAAACTTCTTTATTGGTAGAGATTCTCAATATTTGTCTATTATACAGGTATAAATATTAAATTTTTATTATTATTTGAAAAGTTGTAACTTTTGGAACTTTTTTAACTTCAACCTTAAATTACATTATTTGGTGTCATTTTTATTTTTTATTAGGCATGTTTTTTAAAATTTCATAGATCTGGATAGTTAAATACATGGCGCAATTATTTTTAGGGGTGTACCGGAACCAGGCTGATTCCGGCTGGAACCAGATTCACCGGAATTGTCAATAAAATTCTGGCTGGATTTCTGGCCGGAGCGAGAATTATGTTTATGTTATTTTTTACCTTCAAGATTAAAGTGAAAACCTGCACCTCAGCATCATAGGTGTATTATATATATTTATAACCTATAATATATATAACCTATTTCATTAATTTGATTCTTTTTTCATTTAAATATAATGTTATTTTTATTTATTTTATAAATTTTAATGTTGATAGTTTTAACCTGCATAATATATATATTTAAAATTATTTCTTTATTTTCTATTTTTCCATTTGGATTAACTGTATTAGACATTTTGGGTTAACTGTATTAGTTACTGAATTAGACATCCTATATTTTTTAACTATTTAAAAGTTTAGTAACATTTAAAATGAGCTTATACTCAGAAGCAGGTAACATTTTTGATGAAAAAAAAGCTAATTTGTTGCCCAAAACTGAAGAGCAATTCTTTTTGTGCCACAATATTCCTAATCTTTACATAATTGATTATTGCAAATATAATTACATTGTGTTTGTTTAGAAACTTGTATTTTTTACTTAGGTTTACCTATAGTTCTTCAATGCACTGTAAGTTAATGACTTTTTGATTTAATTTTCAAAGTGTGTCACATCTTAAAAAATAATGGTAAAAAATAAATTTCGGCATTCCGGCCTAAAATATTGTATTTTTGGCCAGAACAGGAATAGATTTAAAAGTCACAAATTTTTGCCGGAATCCCAGCCAGAAGGAAATTCCAGTACATCTTTAGTCTTTTTTATATTTCAATTGACTGTGGTTTTAATAAACTTAATTATTTTTTAGGTTTTTCAATAAATGTGTAAAATTTCTAATTAAAATATAGTTTCAATAAAAGATTTAATTTTTTATTAGCTAGGGTATCAAAATATTTAAAAAATATTAATAATTCATTAACAGTAATGTTTGACCCTGAACATTTTCTTGAACACAATTTTTTTATAAATTGTTAAAAAAATGTTATCATATAAAAATGTTTTTAAAATATTGATAAATACAATGTTTTTTTTTAAGTTTTTTTTTTTTTTGATAGTGTTAACTAATGTACTTATTAGGATTATTGTGAAGGTGGATCTATTTATGATAAAATTGTAGAAGCAAAGCATGTAAGTGTTTATTAAAGAATTTATGTGTGTATGTGTGTGTGTGTGTTTGTGTGTGTGTGTGTGTGAGAGAGAGTGTGTGTGTGTGTGTGTGTGTGTGTGTGTGTGTGTGTGTGTGTGTGTGTGTGTGTGTGTATATATATACACACACACACACCAAATTACATACGGAGTCGCTAATGAGTGGCAAGGGGTCATATTTATTTGACAAGTTTTTTTATTTTTTATTTTTTCTTGTTAGAACTATTCGCGCCAGTCGTTCAAAGTTACGCACTTTTGAATTTTTGACCAAATTTGCAATTTTTGTAATTGGAACAAACAAAGCCCAACTCAAGTTGGTTACCCCCAAAAGATTTGTTACAGGACTTTCAATATTTGGTGTAGATTTAACTAGATCAAAATGTGTTGATATGTTTCAGAAATATCTATTTAAATTTTGTGTGTGTTATTTTAAATTCTCATTAAATTTTAAGTGCTCATCACAGAGCACCGCGGTATAGAGTTTTACTACAAAGTTCACCATAATTTCATTATCAATGTCGTTTATATGACTAAACCGACATTAATCCTCGAACCTCGGATATTAAAGCAAGAACTCTAACCACTGCTATAGCTGCTATTATATTTATTATATATATAATAAATTTTTCCCTTTAAGACAAATATCTCTAGAAAATTCGTAATATAATATTTTTTTAAATATATTTTCAAGGTTTAGAGTCTACAGTAAGGTATTGGATCAAAATTCAAATTATTAGAAATATTAGAAAAGTTTTGAATTATTAACTCATAGCCAATAGCGAGGTAGCAGGCGTCATAGCTGACTCCTTGTATCCTTTCTTCGTCTTTTTAAATGGCTTTTTCCAGGAGTTTTTCATTTGGAGTAGGTTCTTGTAAGTTTTTCCTCACTCTTCGCATGCTTTACATTATCTTGAATGAGTTTTTCTGCACGTTCTGATGAGTCGTTAACAACTTCGACAGATTTTACAAAGCTTTGAAACTCATTGTATCCTGGAAATTCTTTCCGAAAAATCTGAGGGAGTTTCATCCATAGACATTTTTCAGAAGTATGACCTAGAACATCAAAAATTAACCAGGAATCTGGGGAAATATATGATTCAAGGCCTGGTGGTTGGTCTTTATTAAACAGAAAACTGTTATCAGAAGGGATTTTGGCTTTGATTCGACCTGTTTCTACATTTTTAATGCCACTCCGTTGGGTTGAATAAAGAACTTTTGCCATCTTTTCCATTTCTATGTAGTGATCTTTATTAGAACATGCTAGCGCCAGCACCACGGTTGATGGATCCAAATACCACATATGGTTTTGCCATGATTTTAATACCACTTCTGTGGCAGGCTCATACTCATTGAAATGGCACATCTACCAATAGTTTCATTGATCCTAAGAGTGTGAGTTAAAAATAATATATAGTAAGTATAACAATATATATAGTAAGTAAGGTTAATAATGACACTTATAACATCTAATGTAATAAGTGTCATTTGTTTAGGCCATTATTTTAAAATAATTTAGTTGTTACTTTTTTGAAATAAATTATTCTTAAATTATGACACTAATATATTAATATTTTGGAAATTAAGTTTTAATTCAAAAGCTGCAGAATCAGAAAACTCGCACGTGAAAAACCACGATGCCCAGAAAAGAGAAACGTAGTCAGCCATTCTTTTGATCTCTTTGACAATTTCATCACTCATTAACTACAAGCTCTGCCAGTTCACAATAATCTTTGCGCTTCTCAAAAGTCTAACTGTATATAATTAACAATTTAATTAGATAGATATATTTCTTCTAGGTGTTTTAAAGTAATATATTTCTTAATTTTAACCTTACCTGACTATTTCCTAACTTTTTTTATCTATCAGATCCTTGCAAGTTTTGAGCGCCAATAGAGCCTGCTTCTCCAACCAGGTACCCTTAACATTCTGGTAATTAAATTTCATCAGCATCTTCTCTTTGTTTGCATCAATAGCATGCCAGTTCTGCTTTAGAGATTTAAATAGTCGATTCTCCGGTCCACCAGATTTGTTTACTGCAACTTCATTGCAAAAGTGTTTTATATGGAGCTCTCCTTCATGATGGCGGCAGGCTAACAAGAGCAATGGTCGGCCATGGAAATTAGCTAATCTTGCACAAGCTCCTTTTAAATAGCCAGTGTTTGAAGCAGTTGTATCAAAACAAACTCCGTGGATAAACTGCTATAGATCAAAAGAATCTAATAGATTTTGAATTGCTGTGAACTGAGCCTCACCACTGCCGTGTTCCAACCCTGGAGCACCTAACAGATGGGACTGATTGTTATGCCTTATAAGTACACAAATTCGGTCTTTTTTCTCATCTATGCTACCCATATAATCTTTGATAATTTTGCCATCAAAATGCACAATGATGGGTTTGCCGCTCTCCTTAACCATAGTGGTTATGTTTGCTCTAAAAACAGCAGCATCTTTTCTTATTATTGTATCACAAATCCTGTGAGTAGAGCTGTGGGATAATGTTACGTTTTCGATATCTCCACGGGCATTGCAAAGAAAAGAAGATATAAGTGCTGTTGTCTTTTGGTACCTTTAGAGCCATATTTTTAACTGTCTTCTTCTTCGAAGCGTTGCCAACCTTAAAATCGTCTTCGGAACTGCCATCATTATAGTCCAGGTCTTCATCAGTAATCGTTTCACTTTTCAGAGACTTTCAAAATCCTGATAAATCATGGATAGGGTTTTCAACTATACTAGAGGTTTTAGAGTTATTTCTTGATGCAGATCTTTTACTAACATCTACAAAGCGACCGTCCAATGCTCCAATCACCATCCTTCTGCAATCTAGCTGGTCCTGTATGAAGGTTAAATCTTCAATCTTATCTGCTACCAGTCTTAGCCTATCAGTCTGTAAACTATGTTCAAGAAGCGTTATGTCTTCTCCAGCCCAAAATAAGTAAACTATTTACTTCACAATAAATTGGCTTAGTATTGGCTGTTTGACAATGTTTTTGAAAATGTTAAAATTTTATATTTATCACTTACCTGTCATTGATTTCTCAAATTTATTTCTTGTCTCAAGATAACCAATTTCAATTTTGTTCTGGGATTTCTTCAACACTATGTACTTTTCTACATATTTCTTGACGTGGTACATCACCCTTTTGTCACTGATGACTTTGAAGTCTTTCTCCAAGGAATTAAAATCCCGCAAAGGATACAACTGACATTGTAAAAGTCATTGTTTGTTATGCATTTTAATCTATGAAGAACTTGCGTAAATTAAAAACATAACTTATAAAATTGTCCTTACTATATTTGACATAAAACATGAAATAACGTTCTTATCTATTGATCTCTAAAGCTTAAAGCTTACTTGAAAGTTTTGGACATTAAAGGACAAGCGATGAGATCCTTTAGTGCTTTCTTTGGAAATTGTTCTCTTAAAAATAAGTAGCGTTGGATAACATGAATCCTAAGGGGAAGCTGGTTTGTTTCCATTCTATCCAGAGTGAAGTTAACTAGGAACATGCTGTTGCGACTCGATCTCCTTTTTTTTAACCCCTTCTTGGGACAGGGGTACACCTCAGATACTTTTGTTGTCATAACTAGCTTTAAAACTAAATTTCATAATGATAATCATTGTTTTAAAACACTATAAATATTTTCATAATTTGTATGAAGTTTAAAATTATTTAAAAGGTTATTTATAATATTATAAATGTTTAAATAACCTAATTTATTTAACTATAATTATAAAATATAACATAATTATGTTATGTTGTTATAATAAACTTACTTGAGGTGGATATAATTGATTTTTTACAATTGAAAATTTTTAAGTAGCTCAATGAACTATTGTTTTATAAACTGTGCTTTTTTAAAATCTTATCCAATTTTTGCGTTTTAAAAGTACCACCTGGCATCAAATACAATAATAATAAAAATGGGCACAATCGGTATGGATAAAAAACCTTCCATTCTTTGTATTGACGCAATTAAGTTGTTAAAGATTTATAAATTTCTATTTGCGCCGATCATTTGAAAATGCCCACAAAAACTCAACAAATGTAAAAAAGTTAAACTTTAAACGAATGGCGCGAGTATAAATAAAATTTCAAATGTGGGAGAAAAAATATTTTAAGGTTATAATTAATTCAACTTAAAAATAGTACTTTTCAAAAACAATACTTCTAAACAACGTTAACGATGGGTTATCTGAAAAATACACATGAATGATCAGGGCGGCCGAGAGCTTTCATGATAGCCAGACTGAAGCATATTAGCCGCCATAAGGCCCCCCTAATTGCTTATTGACTTGATAATTGGTGATACAATTACCAAGTCAATGACTGTGTTTTTATTTCAAATACTGTTTACTTACATCCACATTCTTGGATTATGGATTTTGGGAAAATCTGGATCTAATTTGAATTAAATTACATAGTTTCTTTTAAATTAATATTGACAACTTTTTTTTTCTCTTTTTTACCAGCAAAAGTTGTGATTATTATTATGTCATCTTACAACAAAGTTGTATCCTATTTATTTTCAACATGCATGTTTGATACACGTTTTTAAATTCTTTGTTTTAAAGTGGCTCTACGATAATTTTTTTCAATTAATTTTACTTAAAGGTTGTTCACCTTTTTTTTTTTTTTATTTTAATTCACCTCCTCAAGGCCGAGAAGGCCACTACAGACGAGGAGGCTACTTATTTGTGGTTATAACCCTCTCTCAACTCTATAGCTCCGAAACACGAACCTTGACGAGCAAGGTCGCTGCGCGGAGAAACGAGTTGAGCACGGTACTACCAGGAACGTGGTGGGGATCAAACTCAGAACCACTCGTTTATGAAGCGAGCGCTCTACCACTACCGCATATGTACCTTCTCGAACAGGTACCGACTTTGCATAAAAGGTTTGAATTAAAATGCATATAGATTGGAAAATAGGCTATAGACCCTTTGAGTATATTTTGTTGGGAATGCCTAAAGTATTTCCAGAAGTGAAAAATGAAGACTACTTCAAACTATTAAGATACAAAATATCTTACATAAAGTTGTCTTTTATTTCAAGCTTTAATTTTAACCGGTTTTTGATTTTTAACCAGATAAATGAGAATATTAGCAAATCCTTTTTACAATCCTAATTTTAAATTGAATTTGTTGAATGGAATGACGCAACTCAACATTAAAGATATTCACTTCAAGCTTATTTTCATAGAACCCAGGTAAGTAAATGACTGGGGCTAGTATTTGACTGTGGCCAAGGTTTTACGGACGAGACTGCATAAACATTGGTGCATATTGACTTGTTTTTATATATCATATCAATATGCATCAATATTTATATAGCCCTAGCTATAAATCTGGCTTTGGCTCAGGTCAAATACCAGCTCCAGTCATTCACTATACCCAGGTTCATTGCAGTTTTACTATAATCATTCGCTTTGCAAAAAATTCTGTATCATTGTGAGGACAAGTCATCTTTTTATGGGTTGATGTTTTAGCTGAAGGTAAAGCAACAGCTTGAGAGCAGCAGAACCTTCTATGTTTGTTTTGAAATTAGCTTTATAGCGACAATCAGAGCTGAACCTTTTGAGTCCGAAAGCTTGTAAAGCTAGATCTTCCATTTAGCGGGACTGCAACTGAAAACTAAAAGTTATTAGATTTTTATTTATCTATGACAATAACCAATAAAACTTATACATAAAAGAAAAGCAATACCAGGCTTTCATATGTTGACAATTGACATTGCTGCAGCCAAAATAGCATTATTAAAAAACTTATTTAAGAGTTTACTGTAGGTAAGAGTTTACTGTTATAAAGAGTTTACTGTAGGTACTATAGGTTTTAGACTAGTCATTTTTAAATATATGCTGAGTTTGATGAGAAAACGTAAACGAGTAACTTTCAAATTTATTCAACAGCAGTTCTTTGTGACAAAACCTGATGGTTATATTATAGTTATAAATAATTTATTTCTTAAATTAATTTATTAAATAAATAAATTGTTTAAAACTATAATTCTTTTGTAATATAAACAAAGCAAGTTTTTTGCTATGCACATCACCAATTAAATTTACTTTATGCCTCAATAATAAAAACAGATTTATATTTTTTTCTAATTAAAATCTCATTATGACTTTTTTTGTCTTTTATCTTCTGATGCCCCTAACAACTATGGCACACGGGGCATGTATGCCTCTTTTGATCCTCCCTCTTGGGACCTGTGCATTGTTTATTCTTATTTATTTAAGACATTTTTGAAATTGTACACTGATATACACTTAAAAAGTTTAAAAAAATTAAAAAAAAGGTTATTATAGTTTGTATTATAATTTAATATATATTTACTCTTACATAATATAAGTATATCAATTTTTATATAATTATTCTTATAAATTTAAAATCTTGGTGCCTGGGTGAAGTGTATTATATGTATGTATGTATGTATATATATATATATATATATATATATATATATATATATATATATATATATATATATATATATATATAGATATAGATATATATATATATACAGATATAGATATATATAGATATAGATATAGATATAATGTTAAGCATAATTTTCATAAAGTTATCTTTTCTTCTCATTGTGTAATTTGTTTGATAAAAGAAAAGTACTCTCCTTAATGTATTATTTATTTATTTGATACAAGAAAAGTATTTTGTCTTTTCTCCTCATTGTGTAATTTTTTTGTTTGATACAAAAAAAAGACATTGCCTTTTATTTTCAATGTGTAATTTATTTATTAGATACAACAAAGGTACTTTGTCTTTTCTCCTCATAGTGTAATTGGTTCAATTAAAAAATGTGTTTTAAAGTGATGAACTTGTTAATTCAATTGTTACATGGTGTATTTGGAAACAATCTTCCATCTATTTTTTGGCAATCACAAGTACTGAAATTTGCTCTCTTTATGTTTTCTTACACCAATGTATGTTTTTTTTCCAATGAGTAAATAATTCATTTCTAATAATATTTTAGAAATGAAATATTTCTCTCTGCCTCTTGTTCCTGGTTTGCAAAAATGTCTATTACCTTAACCAATAATGATCAATAAACTTATTTTTTTTGCAGATAGAGGTCGTGTTTATTTACACTCGGTGTGATAAGTTTGTACTGGATATGGAGAACAACTCAAATAAGCTTGTTGCTTAGATGATGATGAGATTTTTGCAAGATTCATGCACTTTTCCAACTATAAAGTCTGTTAATTATAAATGTCATTTATAATTAATTATAAGAGTTGTTTATCTATAGTTTTCTTAGGAACAAAAAAATAATTTATTCTAAACTAATCTTAGCCAAAAGTTTGTGCAAATATATATGTTTGGTTAGTTTTATAATTTTTAGAGAACAGGAAAATTTAGTTTAAATTTAGTTTAAAACATTAAATTTAATTTGGAAACTGAGTTAATTTTGCAACTTAACGTTGTGGTTTCAAAAGCATTGAAACCATTTTTTTTGTTGTGGCCTTAGGCACTGTTTCTTAACTTATCATTATTATTATTATTGTTATTATTATTATTAAAATGATATTTATACAGGATTTATACAGGATACTCACTTTCAGTTATAAAAGCTGTTATCAACATGTGTCCTGTTTAAAAACTAAAACTTAAAACGGAAATTACAATTATCCACAAATAACAAAAAGTATAAAAAGTATTACAATTAGTAAAGTGTATGTATCTGATCACATATATTTTGTGTGACTTCAGCTGCTGAGTAGAATGACTAAAACTTATAAAACAGGCAGTGCCATACAAGGTTTCTAACATTGTTCAATATACTTAAGATGCTATACAGAAACTTTAATTAGCTTGATTGGCTGTTTCACACCCTTTATACTCAAATTATTTTTTTGTCTTAATTAATAAAGTTTTTTTTATTTTCTGAAATTTTTGTTATTTTCTGTTTTTTTTTTTTTTTTTTTTTGTTTGCAAAATTTTATTGAGTTTTTATATTTTATATTTTTACAGAAACAAAAATTATTACTAGAAACATTAGTTTTAAAGGTATTTATAGTTTTAAACTTTCCTTTACAAAATTTTTTACTATTGATAAAAAAAAGTCAAGTATTTATTAGTTTTTAATAAATATAAATATTATAGCAACTTACATTTTATTAGGGTGGTTTTGTATTTTACAACTTACATTTTATAGTGGTTTATCCAAATATTAATGGCTGTTCAGTACATTCATTCACAGAAAATATTGCATAGGGATATTAAGACTCAAAATGTATTTCTCACTAAGCAAGGTTTAGCAAAACTAGGTAAGTTATGTAGTTAGATTCAAGTTTCTTCAAAATTATTGAAAATTTAAATATTTACTGTATTAAAAATTTAAATATTTACTGTATTTAAAGTAAATATATTAAATATTTATATTGTATTATATATCTTATTAATTGTTGTATCATTTTATATTCAAAACCAATTAAGACAACAGTTAACTATTAACCTAATGTATATATATTTTATATATACATTAGGTTAATAGTTAACTGTTATACTTTTGCGAGAGCCATAAATTGCATTCATAAACTATTTTAGGGGAGTGTGGGCAAGAGCGAGAGCTAAAGCTCTCTCTCTCTCTCCTCTCTCTCTCTCTCTCTCTCTCTCTCTCTCTCTATATATATATATATATATATATATATATATATATATATATATATATATATATATATATATATATATATATATATATACATATATATATATATATTAAGAATTTTTTTTTATTCATAAGTTACTATACATACTTTTCAATTATTAAGGTGATTTTGGAATTTCTAAAGAAATGGAAAGTACTGTTGATTTAGCTCAAACTTGTGTTGGTACTCCCTGTTATTTGAGTCCTGAAGTATGTCAAGATATGCCTTACAGCTCAAAAGCAGATATTTGGGTAGGTCCAATTTTGGGCCAGAATTTGTTTATATAATTTATTTTTATAATATTGTTTGATGGTTTTGAACTGCTGTTTAAAAAAAGAATAGGTAAATTTTAGATTATTTTTAATATTTTTTATAATATTGTTTGATCTTCATGAGTTAATACTCTTTGAATAAATTTTATTTTGATTTCATGTAGGTTAATTGTATTGGTTTACTAAAAATCAATAACATTTATTTTTAAATTAGTAACTGCATAGTTAAATAATTTTTTTTTTTGCAGCGTACGGAGAGCCGAAATTAATATTAACTGAACAAAGTTAAAAAACTTCTAAAATATTTATCAGATTACTCCTATAATAGTTAGACTGTTTTTTGCACGATGAATCTAATGGCACTATTAAATTGTTTATTTGGCTGCTAACGATACCTGAAACGCCTAACCAAATTTTATTTTACATAGCTAAGCTTAAGTGACTTTCTTAAAATGCCAAAGTTATAAAATAAATATCTAATAATGTAGGCTGATTGTAAGTTATTTTATGTGCTTGAATGATTAGATCTATAGTTGGTTACTCATTTTTGCTGTTCCAAGTCCTCGTTATTCAGTTCCAAACCTCTAGAAACTAATGCATAATTCATATATAAAAAAGTAATTTAAGCTAAAACCTTGAAAAATGTCAAAATTAAAATCTATTATTGTAATTTGAATGTTGTGGTTAAAATAATAATTTAAATGTTGTGGTTCAAATATTGATATAATTTCTATGTATGCTATTTATTACTTTTTATATATAGCAATCAGAGACTCAAGCTTACTAACAAAAAAGATTTTATTTCACATCTTTCACAAAAACCAATTGTGTTAAGTATTCATTGATTATAAAACAACTATAAAACGAAATAAAAATATTAAAATAAGTAATTTTAAAAGTTGTATAACTTCTGGATCAAATCTTTTTACTTGAGCTTTTTGTGAGTACTAATAAGTGAATCTGAAGAAGGAAGAAAAGAAGAAGGAAGAAAAAAAGAAATGACTACTAATAAATGGATCTACTGATAATACTACTAATAAGTGGATCTACTGGCAATAATGGTAATAAATGAATCTGAGGAACTTTTTTAATAAATCAATATTAGTTTTTGTTTTGGAACATATGCGTTAAGATGTTCTTGAAGCTTCTTAAAATACTTGTTTTGTGGTTCTTGAGCTTCTCCAAACAGCATTTCAATAGGTAATTGTTGTTTAACATGTTTATCTAATAAGAAACAATGTAAATTTTGTGGCAAATATGTAGAATTTTATTCATGGTATTATATAAATATAATACCATGAATAAAATTCTAGATATTTGCAACATATATACATTTGGAAATTATCTGAATCAATTTGCAATCTTGGGAATAATAGTTGTAATACAACATGAATCATTTTTATCAAAAATAAATCAAATTGAGTAATGTTACATGCTATTTGAGCATTCTAGAAAAACCTGCCAGTATTTCCATTATTTAATGTACCTAACCACTTGACTTGTTTAAAAAATATTATAAATTTTAAGATGTGTAAATATTTATATAAGTTTGTTACACTAACCTTGGTCTCATTGAGACCCAGTTATTCCATAAACAGTCAGAATAAAATACATTAAAATAATTTTGAGACCACCCGGGTATCATTTCATTCATATTCATAGCAATCCTTTTTCTTAACTCCTTGTTCCTTAAATTTTAAACTACGGTGCCATTTATTTCATGAATACTAATCATTGTGTATTCACTAAAATTTATAACTTGTAACTAAGCAATTATCTTATCTCAGTTGACAAAAGCAAAGTTGTAAAAAAAAATGAAGTAATGTTTTTGAGTTTTTGAAAGTTTAAATTGTTTTTTTGTTGTTGTTCTTTTTGCAAGTTAAATTTTTATTTCTTTTATTTTACAATATAAGGTATTATTTATACCTTTTTATGGATTTACAATTTCAACTTAAAAAGAAAACAAAATGCAACAATATACTTGTTTATAATTACCAAGATCTAAATTTAATTATTTTAATTTAAATAACCTAACTTTTACTTTTTTATTTCTCAGGCTTTAGGATGTATGCTTTATGAAATGTGTGCTTTGAATTACCCTTTTGATGCAACAAATATAGTTACACTATATTATAAAATAGTTAAAGGAAATTATGTGGTATGTTATCTTTTTATATTTATATATTTTTTGTATATATGTTTTTGTATTTTACTAGACATAAAGTATAAATACAAAATATATCAAAAATATATCTTGTAAAAGTATTCCTATAACAGAGTAATATCTTTATATTTAGATTATGCCCAGTAAAAATATATATAAATGACATTATTTTGAAAATGTTTAGTAACTGCCCTAAGTATAATTACACATACAAATAAAGTTTTTTTTTTAATTTTATAGTTTAAATATTTAAAGTATCAAAAAAAGTAAAAATATAAATGAAACAAAAAATCAAAAATTTAAATCAAATTTTAAAAATGCTAATAAACGTTTAGTTTAGTTATAAAACTTTGATTGTTTTTCCTAAAGCATTTTTATTTTGAATGAACATTTTAGTTTTATTTCACTTTAAAGTTTGTTGACTGATAAAAATACTTGACAATTGATTCATAGGGTTAATACCTAATGGCTGAAACGACATATGACATAGTATGAAATCTACAATATGACATACATGAGTTGTCTGTATTGTTATTAATTGATGGCTGGAATAGGATCAAGAGCAGGATTAATAATGACAATGGATCAACAGTGATTGAATTATAATTTATTATTACCGTTGGTAATAAACCATTCAATTCCTGTTATATCAAAATATTTTGAATGAAGTTAAATTTTTAACTGAGTTTAGTTAATGGTTTAGCAAACAACTCCAACAATATTATATATCCATTATTCCAGGATACAAAGTAACCTAATCATTAAAAGTTGCTATGCCAACTTATCTAGGCAAACTATTATCAATCATACTTCCTTCCTAATTTTAGAAAAATAAAAGAAGTTTTTATTTTAGAATTAGTATGTATGCACTGTATATTTGATGTATTTTGTTTGGTTGGTATAAACACTATTTTTGTAACTGTAGAGCCAGATTGGTATAAACCATATGTATGTCTCACTGTATATATGTCACTGTACATAAGATACATTGACATAAATTCAGCAAAACAAACATAGCAGCCATCACTTAATCTAATAAGTTAAATTTAAGAATTAAAAAATTATTTTAGACAACAAGGTTATGTTTCTTTTAAGAAATAAAAACTTACTTTTAAAATCCAAGATAAAATCTTTTAAAATAAAAACAAAAAATGGTCTGAGATTTAATAATGTCTCTGGCAATAAAATAAAATGGGTAAGGAAGACAGCAGAAATTCATCAAATGCTTTTCTTGGTGTTCTGTGAAAAGATTTTTAGATCTTCTTTTAGCACCAGAAAAACAATTGATATTTTACAACTAGAAAAAACAATTAATATTTTATTTTTTCAGCAAGTTCCTAGCAATTTTTCTCAAGATATTTGTCAACTAATAAAACTGATGTTAGCAAAAAAAGCTGATGAAAGACCAAGGTCAATCTATATTTATTAGTTTCATCATGTGTTTGTTACTATTATTATGAAGATATGGACATTTTATTTTTAATTTATAGTGCTACAGCAGTATTAAATCTCCCATTTATTCAACAGAATTTACATTTATTTCTAAAAGACTGTGAATCAATTCAAGAGATAAAAGAAAAGTAAGGTGAATTCTGATGTTTTTTTATTTTTATTTTAATTGTTTGAAAAGAAAAAATTTAAGGTCTATTTAAAAAAAAAATTATATTTTCCTCAAAGAATTTCTCGTGACCAAAAAAGGTTTAAAGAAAAGTTTAAAAGTCCAAGTTCGTTTAATTACAAAGGTTTGTTAAATTTGATATTTTTTTTAATAATGTTTAATTACAAAAGTAAGGTTAAATTTAATACTTTATTTTATTATGTCTACTTACAAAGGTATAGTTAAATTTTATGAAAATAAATTAAAAATAAATTAGGATTATTGTGCAAAATATAAAAAATTTGTTATTTTCTAAAAAAATGTTTTTAGAAAGTAGTGTAGTTTTACCACAAGTTCTAACTTCCAAGGAAACAGGCGTGTATGCAGATGATTTTATTGATGAAAGTGAAAGTGATTATTCAGATGATTTTGAAGACGAAAGTTATGAGTATGATGATGATTTTGAAGCTGATGATGAAAAAGAGGTGTTTTTTTGTCTATTAAATTGTAAAAAAAAAGTGATTAGATAAAAGAGTGTCTCATAGAAATGGTCTACTCCTGCATATTTAGGTTTACAAAGTATTTATGTTTTGATCACTTTTTTGAAATGTCCACTTTAATCCAGACACTTGTTTAGGCGAAGAAGAAAAAAGACATTATTCTTTATTACATTATTAAAACAAAAAAAAATTTTTTTTTGTTATAATAATGTAATTAAGAATAATGTTTTTACACAGAGATATTGTCTGCAGAAACCCAAACTCAACACCCCCCCCCCCAAAAAAAAAAATGTATATATATTTATATAATATATATATCAACCCTTCGAATTAAGGTCAGCATTTGGCAATGCTGACCTAACTGCCGATCTTAAAGTGTTTGAGGTCGGCAAAAAATGTCATGCTTAACAGCAATCATCAGCCATATGTTACAAAATTAAAAATTAAACTTTAAAATTACAATTAGAATTACGGTGACGTGAGTTCTAATGACTCCATGGCAAACAAAATTTTAAAAAGTTTTAAAAGTATAATGTGGCGTAAACATGATGTAAACCAACCAGGATCAATCTGTGGTATTAAATGAGGAAACAAGGAAATTATTTTTGTCTACACTTTAAGATTATTTCACTCCTTGTATTAAGTAGGTTTTCTTCTTTATGCAACAAAATTTTAAACTTCTTGTTCAAACAGAGGTTGCAAACTCTTGATGCTGGGTTGTATGGTTTGTATTGTTTAACAATCTTCCATCTGACTAAAGGTGTAAAGTTTTTTTCTTTTAATTTACATACTTCTTTAGATAACTCTGTATCATTCGCATCTCTAATTGCATTAATAGATTTTATATGGTTTGCATACTGAACTTTTAAAGATGTCTTGCTGAGTCCAAAATACACTTTTTCTTTATATTCTGGATTGTTTGAATAAATGGTGGCCTGATAAACAATGTTGTTAGAAATGCAATGGTTGTTCATTGGACAATTGGATTTGTAAATGCAGTTGCATTTCTTTTCATTAATTTTTGCCTCCTTATGTAAAATGCTTTTATTGTGAGAGTTGATAATGGATTTAATGTTTGGCATGCAGGAATAACTTATTTTGATTGTGTTTTAAAAATAAAATCTTTTTATTCTATTTAGCTTAGAAGCATACGGCATGATAATTATACAAAAATATATACATATTATTAAAGATGAATGTTTAAGCAATAAAATGGCATATAATAATGTAATTTTTTTGTTTCTTTACTTTTGTCCACCACCACTTTGCAGCAGTTAAACATAAATAAAGATTGCTGTGTCTTTTTTGATTGGAAAAATTGATTGGAGGTTCAAAAAGTGATTTTCCTGCTAGTGTTTCACCAACATATATAGACATTTATAAATACTTCAATTTTGTGCAATTGAAATTTAAAACCAAATCTGACATTATTGATAAAACTCAAAAAAAGCTTGTAAATATTTGGTTAAATGTAAACCCAAAATTGCCCTTAATAAAAAATGGGCCAGTTTATTTAAAACTAGTGAAAGAAAACTTATTAATGGAAAAAAGTGCAAAAAAAGTGTAAAAAAAAAAAAAAAGAAAATTATTAAATCATCCAAAAAGCATTACAGTTACTTTTTCAGGTATTGGCGAATCGTATGCATTTGATATTAACATGGAGTCTGATTCAGTATAAAAATAAAGTTGTATTTTTCTAATAAAAAGTTTTTCTAATTAACATTTTTTTTTTGAAGTAAGTTATTATTTAAAAGATATAAGTTTTGATAAAAACATAGTTAAACCTGCTCTTTGTAAACATGGGACATGCTCTTGCAGCCAATCTACAACCATTATTACATTGTCATAACATTGCTTCTCTTTTTCTTTTCTACAAATACTATAATGGGGACTGCTCTAAAGAGCTAGTGTCTCTTGTGCCATCTACTAAAATTCATTCTTGTGTGACTTGTCATTCAATTAAGTCTCATCCTGTGACTGTTTCTAGGTGCTCAGGAAACTCTTATTTGACTAGTTTTTTTCCTCAAACATCAACCCTTTGGAGTTTGCTTCCTTCATCTTGCTTTCCTCATTCATATAATTTGCAATCTTTTAAGTCGTCTGTAAATCTTGTTCTACAGTTTCTTGCTCTACAAACATATATAAATATATATATATATATATATATATATATACTATATATATATGCACTATATATATATATGTACTATATATATATATATATATATATATATATATATACTATATATATATATATATATATATATATATATATATATATATATATATATATATATATATATATATATATATATATATATATATATATATATATATATATATATATATATATATACTATATATATATATATATATATATATATATATATATATATATATATATATATATATATATATATATATATATATATATATATATATATATATATATGAATATATATATACTATATATATATATATACTATATATATATGTACTATATATATATATATATATATATATATATGTATATATATATATATATATACTATATATATATATATACTATATATATATGTACTATATATATATATATATATATATATATATATATATATATATATATATATATATATATATATATATATATATATATATATATATATATACAATATATATATAAACAATATATATATATATATATATATATATATATATATATATATATATATATATATATATATATATACTTTTAATTTTAATTTCTGTTAAAACTTATATCTTTTAAATAATAAGTTACTTAAAAAAAAATGCTAGTTAAAAAAACTTTTAATTACAAAAATAAGAATTTAATTTTTTACTGAATCAGACTCCATGTTATTATCAAATGAATTCGATTCGCCAATACCAGAAGAAGTAACTGAAATGTTTTTTAGATGCTTTGATAATTTTCTTTTTTTACAGCACTCCAATCTATTGGACCAAACTGAATATTTATTTTTGTATTAACTTTGATGTATTCTCTTACATCAATGTGTAAGAGAATACATTAAAAACCAAAGTTCAAGAGAATACATCAAATAATCTCGAAGTGTAGGCGCAAAATTAAATTCCTTATTTCCTCATTTGATACCACAGATTGATCCTGGTTGGTTTATGTCATGTTTATGCCACATTATACTTTTCCAACTTTCAAAATTTGTTTCCATGGAGTCATTAGAACTCACGCTGCTGTAGTTCTAAATGTAATTTTAACATTTAATTTTTAATTTTCTTATATATGGCTGATGATTGCCGTTAGGCATGAAACTTAATTCCATAATAAAACTTAGTTCCGTAATAAAAAATTTTTTTTTGTTTTTAATTTTATATATATATATATATATATATATATATATATATATATATATATATATATATATATATATATATATATATATATATATATATATATATATATATATATCGGCGTCTTTTTTAATTTTAGTTTTTTTTTTGCAACAACCTTGCTTTTTAAAAAGCATTGCAGTTTATTATGCAATTAATTTTTTGTTAAATAACATTGTGTTTTTTTTTTTAGTTTTAATGAGAATTATACTTTTATGAGAAAAGTTATACTTTTGTGAGAAAAGTTATACTTTTGCGAGAGCCATAAATTGCTCCTATAAACCATTTTAGGGGAGTGTGAATGAGAGCAAGAGCTAAAGCTCTCGCTTCCCACCAAAGCCTGTATGTATATATATATATATATATATATATATATATATATATATATATATATATATATATATATATATATATATATATATATATATATATATATATATATATATATATATATATATATATATATATATATATATATATATATATATATATATATATATATATATATATATATATATATATATATATATATATATAAACAATTTTAAAATGTATTCTACAAAATAGAGTGCTCAGTGTTCTTAAAAGAACAGACCAATTATAAAGTAGCAGAAAATCATTTAAGAAAATTTTTTTTCATTTAACACTGTGTTTCATCAATAAAGACTCATCAGAAATTAATAAAACTTTATACTAAAAATTTATTACTAAAACTTTATACTAAAACTTTTACTAAAAATTTATACTGAAAATTAAATTACAGGAAGTCGCAAATGTCTTAACTACTGTAAATTTTCACACATTTGTGGAATATGCTGACACCATTATAAAAGAATTCTTTAGAATCGATTATTTCTGCTTCTTTTTAAAAATTATTTTTTAAAGGGGGGATTTAATGTAATTATTATTTGAGCTCACTTTTTTTTATAGTTTTTTAGGAGAAAATTTTTTTCGTGCCTACATTTAGAAATAAATTCTGATTTTTTTTTTAATAAACATTCTTGGTTTGCATGTGTAATAATTTCAAATTTTTCTTGTAGGCATAGTATGCATTTTTTGGAAATATTGTTATATGCAGGTGCTGTTTAAGGATGGACCAATTCAGTATAAAATCATCAATATTTTTAACTTTTAATTCCCATATATATTTTGACAACAATGGTGTCTTTTGAATACTTTTTATTTTTAAAGGATTGCTTATGATTGGCAAAACGTTTTCTCCGTCCGCCCTCTATAATGTCAATATATTGTTTATCAGGTACATTCTTAGAGGAAACAACACATTTATATACCACATTTTTGGATAAACAACTTCCACTCATTGGACAATTGTTTTTTTGTTTACAATTAAAATTTTCTGTAGTTTTTTCATTTAGGATTTCTTTTTTGTTCTCCTGGATGACTATTTGTGGATGATTTTGATTTTCCTGGGATAATTGATACATTGGTTCAATAAATTCAATTAAAGAATTGTCAGAAATTGAGCATTTATTATATAAAATAATAAATGACAATTTCCTATATCAGCATGTTAACATACAAACATTTCAAACAAATAAATCTGCTGTAAATATTTTAGATTTAGATTTAGCCATTAATAGTAAATTTGTTTTAGGAAACATATCCAGAGGTCATTTAATATTGTTTTTTGATTTTATTCTTAAAAATGAAACAATGAATAAAAATACAGAGGAAATTAAATTTTTATATAGAAAAGCAGATTACAATAGCATTAATGATTTCCTAATGAAGTGTCAATTGGCTTCAGTGTTTTCATAACAAGAATGTTCAAGAAATGTATAATCAAAACAAAGCCTGCAGATATCTTACAAGTTACATCCATCTATCTTAAAAAACTGTGCTACTGCTTTCTAATGCTAATTTTTATGGAGTCACTAGAAAAAAGTCAACTTTCAAATCAATTTAATTCAGAAAATATAACTGCACTATATAAAAAAGGTGGCAAGACTGATTCTGGAAAAATTATAGACCTATATCACTTCTGTGTGTTACTTTTAAAATACTCCAACGTATAATAAAAACAAGTTTGAAAAATATCTTCTTGAAAATAGTATTATAGCTATTCAACAGCATGGATTCAAAAAAGGTGATGTACTACAAATTTACTTGAAACTACTCTGGATTATATTACAAGAAATGTTGATCAAGGAATTCCTGTAGATGTAGTTTTACTTGATTTTAAAAAGCATTTGATACTGTACCACATCAATGGGTTATCTTAAAACTTAAAGCATATGGTGTTGGTGGCTTATCACTTCATCAGCTTCAAGCTTTCTTATCTAATAGAGGGCAGAGAGTTATTATGGGAGATTATGTATCAATTTGGACTGATGTGTATAGTGGAGTTTCTCAAGACTCAGCGTTGGGTCCACTATTTTTTATATTAGTTACATAACAAACTACAATGCTATTAAAGTTTTGTAAATAATTTTCTATACATAATTATTGAAAAAAACAATTACATAAAAATGTATGCTATAATTAAAAACGGTTTCATAAACATGTAAGCTATAATAAAAATGATTTCATAAACATGTATGCTTTTGTTAAAAATGATTTCATAAAAGTGTATGTTATAATTAAAAACAATTACATAAAACTTAATGCTATAATTTAAAATGATTTCATAAAGATGTATGCTTTAATTAAAAATGATTTCATAAAGATGTATGCTTTAATTAAAAATGATTTCATAAAAGTATATGTTATAATAAAAAAATGTTTTTATTCAGATTACCCAGGACAACATGTCCCAAAGGTCTTACTTTCTTATGCTAAAATTTTTTTTTTATTTGTTTGGGTGCAATACTAGACAATGAGGAGTTTTTATAGATTTAAATTTAAATTTAGAAAATATTTTAATAATTGGTCAGTTTTTATAACTTTGAGAACTGAAATTAAAAGCTATAGAAATTTTAAAATTGCTTTACTGTTTTTTAACAATAATTTTAAAACTGCTATAAAATAAAAAGGATTCAATTAAAAATAATATCTGTCTTATCTGCATATGTAATTTGTGATTTATTTAAAGGAAGACAAAAAATTTAATACAAACATTGACTTTGTGTTGTTTAGACAGAAGTTTAATTCTTTCTCCTAGATATGTGCCCACTCCCAAATAAATTGTGGTTCCTCCTCCTTCACTTCTAATGAAAATGTAATTTTACATTATATTTTATAGTTTATTTTACAAAGTTTGAAAAATAAGGAGAGGGGCCATGGACTTAACTTTCCCCTCCCTCCTTGTTGTAGTGATTGCTGAGTCAGAGTGCACAAACAGTAAATTTTACCTCAGAAATTGATTGTTGAGTTTAAAAAGTATTATGCTCATATTTTCACTAGATTTCATAAACAATTAATAGAGTTATGATTTTTTTCAAAAACATTCAGGGCACATAGTGCTTTGTTTTTACATTGTCTATATTTACTTTTTGTTTCCCCAATTTAGAATAATTTTCACTTAGTTTTCTTTGTTAACTTAATTTTATCAATTCACATTTTTACTTAGTTAGTTACTTAAACACTTCCTCTCTTTGTTCATACTGGGTGGAATAAATTGTGTTTTAAGTCATTGTGGGTGTTATATTGGGTGAAATAAATATAATTGTGTTTTATGTCATTCTGTATAGGGGTTGTCTATAATTTACGTCATGCTATAAGGGGGATATGGGGTTGGTGGTTTTGTGACAACTCATATAAAACTTGCTTCTTAAGTATTACAATTTTGTGACAAGGGTGGAGGAAGTCAAAAATGGTCAAAAATTGCGTGACATTTATGGACGACCCCATAATAACAAGTGTAATATGTGTAACTGTGCAAGATATGAATATGTTGATGTGAGAATCAGTGTTGGTTAGATAGTGCATGACCAATATGTGTATGCAAGTAAGAATTCTTAGGATAAACAATTGAATCCAAAGGATAGTGCAAGACTATGTATAAAAGTGCAGGACTATGTATAAAAGGGCAGTATAAATCAAAATTGCTTTCTATGAAGAAAAGTTTAAATTTATTAAAATTAGGAATTCTTAGTGTAAAATAAATGTGAACAAATTTTAAAATTAAGTTTTAAAATTCTTAATCAAATTAAAGATTTAAGAATTAATTATTAATTATTATTTAAAAAAAAAATTTGTAATAAAGAAGTTTATTTAAATTTAAAGGAGTTTAATGATGTTTTGGTAAACGCTAGAGAGGAAGTGGAGAGAAAAAATAGAGAAAGTAAGTGATTTTTTTGATACTTTTTCATTATTTTTTAGTTATATTTTTTGGATATGGGTTATTAAAATCATTAAAATGATTGGTATCAAAAAACGACTAGCCTAGAAAATAAACTAAGCTTCCATTGAAAATACACAATAATGCAGAATAAGATAAAAAAGCATTTAGAGTTCTAAGCATTTATTGCCTATTTATTATTATGCTATATCTATTTGTTTAAAATAAAACAAAACAAGTTTTATAGAAAAAAGAGAATTTTGTGTCAACCAGAAGAACAACACAGCAAAGCTAGCTTTTAGACTTTAAAAAAAATTGCAAACACTTCCTTTATGAACAACATTGAACAAGGTCAACACCACTATTCAGAATATCAGCAGAGCACAATCTAAAGAGCAATTTTAAAGTATTTTGCAAGTATGTTAAGGACGTTATTTTAAGGGCTGTTGAATGTGGAAAAGAAAACAGATTCATAGATTATGCGGAATGGAAGGCTAATTGCATTTGCTTCTTGAATCAAACATTATTGTTCGGGGCAATAAAAAGTGCAAATGTAGTAAAGATCTTTAATTGTTCTGTCGAAAAAAAAATGATTCAATTTATAAATATTGTTTGGGAGATAATGCAATATTTATAAATAAAATTCCTATGAAAAAATTTCAAATTGAACCAAAATAGTGTGTTTGTCATATCCAGTAGCGTATTTGTATTAGACGATGTAACCAAAGAAAAGGTTGACATGGTAATTGGTTAATCAGTAAGAGAAGATTAACAGAATGCACAGTTAATAGAATACAAAACTGTATGGCTATGAAAAATAAAATTCTGCACCAAATAAAAAAAACATTGTGCAGTTCTTTACCATTGTACTAATTTTCCTTACCAGTCTTATAGCCCAGTATTTTGTTTTATTGCCCCGTGTTATTTACCAGTCTGAATATATAATATCATTAAGAAAAAGTTTAAAAAATTGTGCTATGAGAAACTTTAAAAAAATGCTTTCACAATCAAACACAGAATTCTAATGGCCGACTCAGTAATATTATAAGGTGTCCAAAAAACATTTTTGTTCATAAA